CAAACAAGTCTCCCTCAAGCTGAAAACATATTTCCTCGGCCTCTGCTTGCCCATTCCTAAATGGAACTCCCTGCACTTAATGGTAAAATGGCTATAATCCATGACGTTTTACTGGGCAATGTATAATCACAGCCTTATGGATCACTGAGGCTGGAAAAGCCCCCTAAGATCCTCAACTCAAGCTGTTAAACCAGCGCTGCCAAGCCCACCACTAAACCATGTCCCTGATCACTGTGTTTCCACAGTTTTTAAATTCCTCCAGGAAAGGTGACCCAGCCACCTGGCCACCTGTCAAAAGGTGAAAGGCAGGCACTGAATGAAAAAAATACTTGTAGTCAGGAGTACAGGTCTTGTGATCCCAGACAATGTCCCATTTTTATTGACATGCATTTTACTTCCCCCAGTTTTAGCTTGGTTTGAGGTCAAGTACTCGCTATGTGTCACTCAAACGGGAACAAAACAGATAAGAATCTTCCTCATCATTAGGAAATGTGTTGACATTTAGGGTAGAGATGGCTGGAGCTGATGCCTTCTGATCCCAAACCCAGCAGGGCCTAGGTTCAGTGTGCTGGCCAGAGGCAAATTACCTCTCCAAACTGATTCCAAAGGGCTGGGACGAGGGGCCCAAAGCCCACCCACAGGGCCTGGGGCCACCCAAGAATCCCTCTGTAAATCTGCTTGGGACTGCCAGGACTGAGCCTTGCAGGCAACACAGGCACTGAGAACACCTGGAGTACAGCCCAGGACACACTGCAACTACAGTCTTCCTCTGCACTACGAAGGACAACTTCTGCCTCTCCTCAGCTGCCATCGGCCTGACATCAGCACTGCCGCCCTCTACACAAGCAGAAAAATAGTGAAAAACTTTCCTGAACAAACAATCCCTTGCAAATGTGGGCAAGATCATTCTGATGACTCATTTGGTCTCCAGGCCTCTGAATATGCTGGGAGATGTCTGTGCCACGGCTGCAGGAAGGACACGGACCTCCTGCCACAAGTACAGGAGCGGCCGAATGGCAGAATTACCCCAACTTCTTTGGCAAACTCCTGGAAATTCTTGGCCATGGCTCTGCCTGGGTCAATCCCCGTTCACTGTCATTACTGACCTTCTGAGCCCACCAATAATCCCTGCCTCCCACAGCTTTCAGCAGGAAAATAGAGTGAAGCTGGCCTGATGTTCTCCGTTCACCGCCGGGCCCCACTCTCTGGTCACACTCGTGGGTTGAGTCCTCACCCAGCAGGGCCCGTGGTGGACAAAAGAGCAAACCAGAAAAGCCAGAGATGCAGATGGGAAAGAAAAACCTCAAGCTGACATTTGAAATAAGCACTCATTCAATAAGAAAATGGATTACACACCCACAGCTCCACATTTCTGCAGGAGGGAAGAAGGGAAAAGCGCGTGCAGAGAGCAGGGGGGAAATTGTGCACACCCAGCTCATCGTCAGGCTCGGAGCTCCATCTCGTGGGTGCTGGCCACCAGCAGCGGCCACTGGCCAAGGGGCTGGAGGCCACCAAACCTACCTCTTGGGGATCTGGAGCTCAGCAAGGCTCTCAGATGCACTTTCTGATAGCCTTTTACTTATTACTTTTTACTGACACCCACCTTGCATTTCTCAGCATTGAATCTCTCTTAATGTCCAAGTTGGAGTCACTGATGGACAAAGCTGCACGTCTGGCAGGGCTGTCTGTGAGTTTCTTCTGCTCTGCCATGGCTCAGGGCTGCTTTGTCTCAGCACAGTAGTGAATGGGAAGACATTTGTCATCTTTCTGCAATGGTCAGTGCTGACTGTAACCAACAAACTTGTGAAATGAACACTGAGAATTTAGGCTTTGAGCTACAAAGTACCTTCTTGCAATGTAGAACTCAAGAGCTATTTCACCTGCTCATATGCTTTATTAAAGATTCTTAAAGTCCTGCTAAAAATGGTGTTTTAATAAAAATGGTGTTTAAATAAAAATGGTGTCTTATTAAAAGCTGTAGTTGGTAAAAAAACGTATTTTAGCTGAAAACCAAGGGTTGATGATCTACTAATATATGAAAATGGATGTAGAAAACATTCTCAGAATTTTTGATTAGATTGCCAATTGTGCATACTTTGAAACCTTCTAGGGACTTTGTGTGGTTTTGTCTTTGACTGACTCTTCTGAGAGCCTTATGGTTGTAGCACTTCTAGCTGTTATATGATGATGGAAGGAAAAATCTCCTACAAGTGGTAGTAGGAAGCTTTCATAAAGTCCTGCATTTGCTGTCATGCTGTGACAATTAAAGGAAGTATCACAGAAACAAAAATTCTTCAGGCTAGTTTCTATATTATTTGAAAATACATAAGTAGACAACCAAAATGAAGTGGGTAGCATAAGTAATAGTTCAACAGTTATGGCACTGGTTGGCTGGGTTTTTTTTCATTCATTTGTTTGTTTTTGTTGGTTTGGGTTTTTTTAAGTTCTATACTAAGAAAAACAACTAAGGTTTTTTGATATATATTTTTAAGTTTCCATCAAGTGCCCTGTGACTCCAGAATCTGTGCAGAAGCTATTTCAAAAGGAGTCTAATGCTTTTTTTTGCCAGTACTTAGTATTATGTTCTCTGTTTTAATGCTCTAATACACATTTTCATTTCCATAGCATCCTTAATTTGCTAATGCTTGTGGCGTCATAATTTGTGCATGGTACAGTTTTGGTTTTTTTTATTCTCCCCCACAGCCCCCCCACAGATTCAGTTAAGCAAAATAGTTAATTGACTAGTTAGTTTCTCCTCTGAGTAAGTTTTAATGTATCTTTCCATTATGATTTTTTGGTGGTGGATATTTCATAGGAGAGCTGAAAGAAACAGATTTCTTTAATTCTGACTGCCATAAAAGTCAATGTAATTTAATTAAAGCCTCAAAAGGTTTTTACAAAAAGTGGCTATTCTCTTGCTTTCAGTCTGTGTGGTTTCCAGGAAAATAATATTTAATCTCACCAAGTTTAAAGAAGGCAAATGACTCCCCCACTGCCTACAGACCAAATAAATGGTCCCTTTCCATAACCCTGGTTTCTTGGACCAAGTCTTCCCCAGTTTTCAGTTTGGGTTTCATTTTCCCCCCTTGGTACTGCCTGGCTTTTATCTATTTTCAGCTGAGATTGATGCTTCATTCATCATCTCTAAATAAAATTACCTGCCTTTATTTCTTCTGTGTTTTCCCCAGAAAGGGAGAAAAAAGCGCCACTCAACGCTATTACATGATGTCCACAAACAATATTTTATTCAGCTTACAGAAGCTCTGGCTGTTCAGATTCTACTTATTTCCAAATCTTCTTATTGCAGTAGCTGTGTTGTATTTTAAAAAGTGATTTTAATTGTTGCTGACCTCTTACTCTTTGAGTCATGTTGCTTGCTCTGAGTATGGCTCTGGTAGTAAGTACTGAAAACCAATAATGAGCTTGTGGTTTTCTTGCAGTGCATGCAGGTTTCAAAGATTATTATCTCCTACACTTATTAAATACATAAACTATGTTAAGAACACGACACCTTGTGGAACAATTTCTGATCACATATAGCTGTTTTGATCTGACAGATGAAGTCCGTCTTCTTTTTAAATGGGAGCACACTTAGTATTTATTCAATTATAAAATATTTATGGTCTGCAGCATAAAAACTGAAACTTCCTTCTTCTATAGTAGTAATGTCTTCAAAGACGAGATTTAATCTAAGTTACCAATCCCCTTGTTGATGGCATTTGTGTCTCTTTGGCCAGTCAAAAAAAAAAAAAAAATTTAGAAAACATATGTCATCGAGTAAATTTTTGGTAATGAAAAAAGTTAACTTTGTCTATATACAAATCTAGGGGTAAAGTGGCCACTTTTTATTTAGAAAGAGCTATTAATTAAATGCCAGTACAGTGTTATTTCTGTAAAAAATAGTTCATGTAGACAAAGGTATAGTATTTTAGTATTTCTATTTCTGTATTATACGATACCAGTTTAGTGCTTAATTTAATCATGTTTCTTTTATCAGTGCATTTCACATTTATTTCCCATAAACTCTTGCACTTTTGTCTATAGAAAATAACTATTGCAGTCTTACATACTTAAAATAATGCGAAAACGAACATATCAAATAATGTGAACACTGATTTTCAAGAGCTGAAATAACTTAAAAGTTTTCCAGTTTGAAGTTATAATAATTTCACTTAAAATTACCTAATTGGTTAATAAATACTTTTTAAAATATACCTATTTATATGTATATATACCTCTATGTGTGAGTGTATATATATAAATCTTTATATTCTTTTTATAAATTTTTCATTTTATATATACAAACGTGATTTTGACTCTTTTGTTATTGTTCGTGGTGCTTGAGGGCTGATTCTGCTGATTTCCAAGTAGATTTTGTTTTAACTGCAATAGTAGTGGAAATTATGATAAAACAGGGTAGTTTGTAGGACTAAACCTTCAATTTGTGTTGTGTTTGTGATCAGTTGCATGTCTGTAGTTTGAATGTATGTATCTCTGAAGACAAAGTGTGTAAAAGAGAGGTTTTTTTTCCCCACATCTCTGCATTTGTTTCATGACAGAGATGGTTTTGAGGCAGTAAATAATGTTAAAAAATGAGTCTCATTGTGGAGACAAAAAGCTTGCCAGTTGTTTTAACTTGCATAATTGGAATTATGTTTTTAAGCCTCCTGGAAGCTAATGATCAAAAATTATGGAAGTCCATTATCAGAAACAAAGATACTGAAAAATAATAATGAGTGTGTTATGCTTAAATCAACTTTGTTAATCCAAAGTGAATATCTCTTTTAAAGTCCTGCTGCCACATCTCCCATATCTTGCACAATAAGCAATTCTATATAATCCTTTTTTCAAAGTGCAATAGTAAAGTGAAACCTGCACAAAATAATTTTACATATGTGAAGGTCTAAAACTCTAGACCCATGATTGGGTAATTGAAGTAAATCAGCATTGCAACTTCAAAGGAATGCTCATACTTTTTCAAAACACAATTTTCAGCTCAGATAATAATACAGAAGAGTTCCAGTTGCCTGAGGATAGAAATCAAACAGAAATGGACACTGTTGAAGATCTGAGAAGAAAACTCCATAGGCTGGAGAAAAGAAATTTGGAATTACACAGTCAACACAATCAAGAGGTAAGGACTTTTTTTGTTTGCTTTATTTTACCCTTGGAATAAATGTAATTTGTTTCCTTAAATGCCATTTGTTTCCTTGAAATAATCCTCTCATCAGGTGACTCAAAATCACATTCAGTAGCTGGAAAATAGCAAAGTAGCACTGTACAGACATCTCACACCTGTCCACAGGAACTGATACCACTTGTAGTGTCCTTGCTAATAGTTGAAGGTGTGTGTAAGAAACTTGAGCAATATAGAACAGCAAAGTCATGCAGAAGAATATTTTGCACCCCCAATTTTGGAATTCTCAATGTAAGATGTGTTTTGTTGGGTGTTTTAATCCCAGTAATTTCAGGGGTCCATTTTACAGAATCACCCCACCACTGATGGAGCAGTGGGAGCACGACAAGAGGAAATCACTGTGTAAGAAGCAGGAATTTCTAAATAAAAGGATAGGGAACAACAAACTTGGTTTATTAGCTGTATTTAGTAGAAAACAGATGAATGAGCACCCACACCAGCTGCCCCTAACAACCTCCTAAGAGCAGAATTGTTACTTAGAGCAGTAATAAAATTCAAACTAAAGGAAATTTTAATGAAGTATTTTTTCACTGCTACTTCATTTAGTTACTAGTTTGCCACAAGAACATCAGGGAAAACTTTTGTAATGGGGTTCAATTTTTTCCCATGAATGGACCTCCTCTTAATAAGCATGCTGCTGCTTTGTAGATGTCTGAAGAAGTGCCTGTTTTACTTTCCACCTTCTTGCATGCAAATGGCTTGAACATAGTTTCCTGGGTCCAGTTTTTGGCAGCAGTGACTAGACTGTCTTTCTTACAGCAGATAAGAGCCCTTTTTGAAGCCTTTTCTTTGTTCTCTTTGTTATGTTTAATAGCATTCTGCTATTAACTGCTATTATGACTGTTGAACATCATTGGACTGAAGTTTGTGTTTACATAGTGACTTACTAGGTGTCTGATAATCTAGTATCCCAACACAGCTGCTTTTCTAGTCCTTAAATGCAGTTACCAGAAAATTGCCTGTGGAATATAATTGGAGTTTTTTACTTTCTTAAGGCAGAGTATGTTTGGAAAAAACAGGGAGGTATGTTTAAGGTACATGAACGTGATCTAGGAACAGGATCAGTTTGCATTAAAAAAAAAAAAAAGTATCTAAAATGTGCAGTTTCAAGACTGTATTTCAAATTCAGATGGAATAAGATGGCAGGTGTGAATGCAATCTCTGAAATATTTATTTTCTAGATGTCTCACTGTGAAAAAGAAATAATGAAATTAAGGTTGGAACTTGAGAGAGGAGAAGTTCTTCATCAACGTCTGCAGAGTGAAATGTCATTTGCTAAAAAAGAGGCTCATATACAGATGTCTTCTGCAGAGAACAAGCTGTGGGATGCAAAAAGCAAAGTTTTGGAACTACAAGGTAAGTAAAAAAAAAAATCATAGACCAGAGGCTACATCAATCTCAAGTCATAAAAACAAGCAGAGATTGCATGACGTTTTATGGTTACAGCCTTTTTTGAAAGTCTCTTATTTCCCCATGTCTTACTCATTGGCTTCTGTAAGCTCATAAGAGTTTACAAGGGCCTTGCTGTCTCATATGAATTAAATATAACCTGCTAAACCTTGCAATCCCTTTTTTATCTCTTGCTCCTTACCTTCTGTTATTCCTTCCCTCAGTGTGTACAGAATTGTAATTAATGTGTCCCTCTCCACTTCCTGCTTATCACTATGCCAGCAGGTCTTCCTTCTACATTTCGGGGGGAAAAAAAATCTAATCCTGTTTATTTGTTTACCCTCTTCCCAAAAATTTTTCCTTCCCCTACCATGAGGTCTCATTGTGCTGCTTTTTACTTTCACCTTTTCAGGTATTTCTAGCTTTTCATTGCTCATATCTTCATGTCATCTATGGTTTTGTTTTTATACAAGTAATGTGTGTTATGACAGTAGTATGTGGAAAGGAGGGGTTTTACCTACATATTTTTCTCCCTATTAGTTTTGCATTCAGAAACTCAAATTTTCTTAATCCTTCTCAAACAGGGAGATATTTTTCACACTTAAAAGCCGGGGAGATGCATTTTTTTGTTACCTAAGTAAGTGTAATAATCTTTAAATTTAGTATAGGAGATGCATTTGTGAACCTTTGGTGTTCACTAAAATGACTGGAGCACTCCTGGAGTTTGTAATTTTGCCAGGATGGAAGGAGACTCTGAAACTTGCAAGTACACTTATACTGTAAGATTTTTAAAAAATAATAAATCTGCACTTTCATTCATTTGGAGAACACACAAATTACAAACATCTTAGTTGGTTTAAAATTCTCAAACTTTTTTTATTTGGTTGGGGTTTTTTGTTTGTTTTGTTCTTTGTTGGGGTTTTTTCTCTGGTTTTGTTTTTATTGTGACAAATGTCAAAGAAGCCAAATAGTTGTGGTGTTGCTTCTCATTTCTTTTTCAGTTTTTAACTTACTGCTTCTTCTTCCTCATCTCTTGGAGCCTTGCTCACTTCATGTGGTGTTTTTCATACAATCTCAGCTTAAATTCTTGGATAGAGCACCTCACTTGTGCCCTGTCTTTAGTATTTTCTCCAAACTGTTTTTCTGCTGTTCTTCTGGAGACTTGACTTCCTGACATCTGACAGGTGTTCCCCTTCATTGTGTTTTCTCACCATGTCTCTTCTGGTTGTTTCACCCTTCTCCAGCTAGGCAGAAATTTCAGAAGAATGGGATGAATTTGAAGTAAAAATCTATTAGAAAATGGTGATCACATAAATGCCAACGTAGCTAATTGTACTCAGTAACATAAAAAGCTAATACAAAATATTTTACTGAGATTATGAAATGAAGCAAAGTTCCTAGTAAAACTGCTTCTAGGAAAAGAACTTTCACAGAGAAATAAATCCAGTATTTTCCTGTCTTGGGGCAGTTGCTGGGCTGAAAATTTAAATCTCTTGAGCAGCAGATAATTTCCCTAGAAAAGCCAAGCCTTTGCTCATTAGCCCTACCTGCCTTAGGTTTTCCTGGAGTCTTTTTCATGCGGCAGCCATCTGTCTTTACCATTACTCAAACTGAGCTTGAAATTATTTGGTACAGACTAAAGTTTCACGTAGATATTTGGAAATAAGCTTGCCAAGTTTTGCAGAAAAATGCAATTAAGTTCCCCATGCTTATAGAGGCCTCACTTGAAAGAGTTGAATTTGTATTCCTTTCCAAAGGGGGGAGAAGAGCTTTAATTTGTTGAAATCTCCAAAGCATTTCCATGTCCTTGTGGGAAAGATGCTAAAAGAACACAAAATGTGGTTGTTCCTCTGTAGTGAAACTGAAAGCGTTAATGATCCAGTGTGTCACAGGATATCACAGTACACAGACTTAGGTTCATTATACATTTTTTTTTCCTGAACATGCTTATTTGCAGTGCTATTTTTAATTTTCTTTTTCTCTTTCTCTCTTTTTTTTTCTTTGTTTTTTTTTGTTTGTTTGTTTGTTTGTTTTTTGTTTTATTTAACAGCTGTACTCGATGGCGAATACCAACAGAAAGCAGAGGCTGAGAAAATGGTTGAAAGTGCTCAGAGGCAGTGGGAAGAGGAGCAACAAAGATTGGCAGTGGAGAGGGATAACATCCACAGAGCACACCTTGCTGAACTGGAATTCCTTTTCAAAGAAAAAACTGAAACAGAAACGGCTTCTCAGGTGTGATATATTTATCGATGGAAAGTTCCATGAGATGGTGGCTGAAAGTTTTTTGGTGCAAAGTGTGTGGTGGGTTGGAGTTTTTCTGGTTTAAGAGGAAAAAAATTCCCCAAATAGCTGAATACTACAGATTTGAAGGTTACAGCCTTATGAAATTACACTTAGTGTGTAACACTGGTTTGGGGCTTTGATGGAATGTGTTGTGGCTGTTTGTCATGGTAAACACCTAACCCAAGTTATCAGTACACAGTGGTAATGAAAAACAGAGGAGCTTGTGGACAGGACATAAGATCCTTCTCAAAACAAGCAGAAACACAAGTCAGTTTTTATTCAAAGCTGATTCCTATAAAGGTAGGGCAGGGTTTAGGCTGTGAAGAAGCCGACTTTTAAATAAGTGTTTTCTTTTTTAAGTTGCCAGGTACAGCAGGGCAAGCTCTGAGTTCTGGCTAACACTAGGTGGCTGAGTTGGTTTGAGGAGGCTCTGGAAGGGTATTGCCTTCTGTTGTGTACAGTGTTTTGTAGAAGATTCTTTCAGAGAGTTTAATGCTGCAGCAAAAGATGAATGTTGAAAAAGTATGCTGTGCTCTGCCAAGTGATGTTTGTCCTCAAAAAAAGACAAAAGGAGCAGTGTATGGTCAGGGCATTGTGTTCTCTGTCAGTTCCTTGGCAGTCTTCTCTGCCAGTGGTTGTAGAGGAAGGGGCTTTCTTGGTAGATGTATTAAAGCTACAAAATAGCAGGAAATGTAATTAAGACGAGTAGACTAAGATCGCCATGAATACACCTAGCTCATTGAACAGGTCAGCGTGAGCTGTAGACTTTCAGAATCTTGACATCTCTGAACTCAGAAGTCTTTCTGAACTTTCAAAACTCTCCAAAAGGAAAATGTCATTCACTAATAGGTGCCAAACCTATAACATGCCTTCAGCAGTAAAAATGTTCTATTTTTCCCTTTTGCTTTTGTAACTGTTCCTCTGCCATCACCCTACAGTTATGTTATGTATAGTTATAAAATTCCGGGAAATAAAAAAATCTTACAGCTGGACATGACTGCATTGAAAGCTTAATTCATTTAAACTTGTCAGATAAATATGAGGGTTTATAAATTATGACTTTGAATGCATTGCAGTCTTTTGTGTTGTGTATTTACAGGCTTGGTTGAAATCTCCTTTACTTATTCTGAGCTATAAAATGAAAGCTAAGGAGATTTAATTGTGGTCTTAATACATGCAGAGAAGTGGGATTCTGAGTATGTAGGCAAATCCTGGCTGGGAAAACTGCACTTCACAAACTGTAATTCTGAACTTGGCTGTGAAAATGCTGAGGTAGGGATGGGAGTGGAGCCACAGAGTACTGAAATGTGTCTCTGGGACACGCAGGAAAAGTCACCCTCTGCTATGTGACAGATTCACGATGAGCTGTGCGCATCCTGGCCCGGGATAGGAGGAGTTGGGGTTCGCTAGGAAGGCCAATAGCATCACCTCGTGATTAGACAGGAGACCATATCCCTTCACGTTTTTTCCCTCAGAATACTTGGGAGATTGCGTCGTTTACACACGGTTAAAAAAAAACAAAAAAAAAAACAAAACAAAAAAACCCAAAGAAAACCAAAAAAAACACAAAACAAAAAAAACCCAAAAAAAACAAAAAACAAAACAAAACAGAACAACAAAAAAAAAAAAAACAACAAAGCAAAACCAAAACAGCCAGCCATGTTTTCCATGAGCAAATATTTGCAGGTGGTACAGGGATAGTATTAAACAGTCATACAGCCTCCAAAAAGTTCCGAAATTCTTCAAAGCTCTGAAATCCTGCAGCTCATGCTGACTTGTTTAATGAGCTCTATATATTCATGACAATTTTATTTTGCAAATGTTAATCGCATTTCCTGTATAAAAAGTTTAATCTTTTTTTGTAGTATTTTACAGCAAACTATCTGTTAATTATTTCACATTTCCTAGTTCACTTTTGTTAATATCTGGAAGATAAACTTGAAGAAATAAATATTTCTATATCTTTCCAGGTATAGTTCCATACAAATTGTTAATTTTGGTTTATTCATTTACTTATTTATTTATTTTGCATTTTGAAGGGAAGAAATCCTGTCTTGCTGGACATGAAAAGCTAGATGATTAGCTTAAATTTAGTCCAAATTCATATGGACTATGGGGATTTCATAGCACTGATTTTACAGACCCACAGAGTCCAGTAATGTCAATAATTCTTCCAACCTGTAGCTTAGTTCAATTTCTGTATGCAGAAATTGATGTGGGGATCAGCTTCTTTTATTCTACTGAGGACTTCATATTTCATAAGTTTCTAAAGTAATTCAGTTTCTAGAAAGAAGAAAATCCTTTTCAAAATAGCAGAAATTAAAATTATTAAGTCTGTAGGAGTTACTGTTTCTAAAAACATCTGATTTGAAATTTTAGCAATTAATATCAGAACAAAAATGAACTTTTGTCCCCATGTGCCATGTAACCAAATGCACCCTTTTTCTATCATTGCCACCGAGCTGAGAGACAGAAGAGATTGGAATTGCTTTACTCTTTTCGGGAAAGATTTCCTGTGGAGATCTGGTTCTGATTTTAGTCTTACCACAGAAGGTCATGTTCACAGTGATTTTTGGGCCAATAGAGTTTTCTTGGTGGTGAATTAAGAGCATGTTTGCTGTTGGGTAAACACTTCTGTTGACATGTGCTGGCATCTTACCTTTTAAAGTTCTAGCATCTTCTGATGTGGTCTCCACTCCTCTGTTGAACTCTCTACTGCAATACTTCATCTTAGTAAAAGTACCTCTTGATGTAATTATTTATTCATTTACCTATTTATCTTTAGAAAACTAATGCTGCCCTGCAAAGCATGCTCAAGAAGTTTAAAGATATGGAGGTTGAGCACCATGGCTGCAGCAAGATGCTGAGGCTCCAGGCTGACAACCTGTATTTCAAGGATAAACGGCAGGAGACCCTCATCAAAGAGCTGGAGGTAAATCTTTCTGCCTGCTGCTGGGAGCCTCAGCAAGCACTGGCACAACTAAGCAGTTTCATTTTTGAGGGGTGGAACCTCTGATTTAGGCTTTGTGTGCCTTGTGTTTGATTAACAAAATGTGGAGCATCAGTTTGGCAGGAAAGGTGCATTCACAGGTGAATGCTGCAAGCCTGACCTGAGACTCTGAACAGCAGATGGGAAGAGTTTTATGTCCCTGGGAAAGTGCTCTTAGCAATATGGAGGTATAGAGGGAGTATTTGTGCAGGATTTGTGATTTCTTTTTTTTTGTAATTTAAGCATGTTAAACAGATAAATCTTTTGGGAGGTGGAAAAGCTTAAACATTTTGGCTGATGGTGTTGTGGAGTAGGTTTGGTATGCTCTGTGCTGTGACTTTCTCTTTAACAGGCCTTCTACAGATCTCTGTTTCTCTTTTATTTCCTTTTGTGAATGTGCGAGATTATACAGGGTTTAAATTTATTACCAACAGCTTGTATTAAAATTTATTTATTTATTTATTTTCTAGCAAATGTTTCCCTAACTGAAGTGCTTAGAGTGAGATTCAGTCTCACATACTTGCTATTTTGCTTTACCTGTCCAAAATCAGTGACTTCATTTATATCTGTGTATCTTTAGGTATCTTAAATGACTTTAATATTAATGTGGTTTTCTTGATCTTTATTGTATCACTTGAAGGTAGGAGTCATTTTGGGGTGTACTGTTCTTCTTAAATCAGTCATGAGTCTTAAGTGAAAAGATTTTTTTTTTGATAGAAAACAGTGTAGTTAAAATTGCATGTGAATTTCTATTATAGCAACTCTGTAGTTACTGCTTTTGCTAAAAGCATTTTTAAAATTAAAATTCCATGTCCAGGCCTTTATATGGAGATAGGTATTCTGTGATTACAAAAAATGCAGCAAGAATATAATCCTACATCAATTTCTTTAACTAAACAAAATTTTTATTTTAATATTCTGGATATGTAATTGTTTTCTTTTATTTATTTATTGAGATGAGTTTTCACAGTTCCAAAGTGCAAGTAGTTCAGATACCACAGGCTGGTTTATGGAGACCTAATAAACTGAACAAATAAAGTTGTCTTTGCATGATTTTATCATCTTTCTGGACTTAAATATTTTCAAAATGTCCTTTTAGGCAGCTACACTGAAAATAAAGGAACTGGAGGAAAACGCTTCAGCAGCAAGACTAGCACATATAGACTGTAAATACGCTACAGAAAACATGCAGGTAAACTTTTAATTAAATATTTGGTAGAAGTTTACAGTAAAACAGAAGATGAACTTGTAAACTTACAATCTTCCAAAAATGCTAAGACTTTCTTGCTCCAGTAAAAGCACTGAATAGATTTTTTGCAATGAGTGTCAAAACTGTAAAAAGTAATAGAAAAATATCTCCGTTTTTCAGGGGACTATCGAGTTAATAGAATAAATATTAAAATAAAATGTCACATTCTTATATTTGAGAATTCCAAGTAGTATTGAAACAGTGAGGGGAAAGGAAATGTTTCACAGTAGTTAAACTATTCAAATATCCTGTCCTATATCTTTGGAATGGGTACTTAAATAATTTTGGGGACTGAGTGCATATATCCAGCTTCTCTAGGTGTGAGATATCAATGCATCCTGAGACTGCAGTTCCAAATGTAATTATTCAGAGTACATTTCAGCTTCAAAGCTATTATATCTGCAGTTACCAGAGAAGTTTGAATACATGAAAAAAATGTAATATGTGTACCTGAATATTAAATTCTTGTGTTATTACACTGTATTACACAGGATTTGATCCATTAAAGCAATTAGGGTTTATTTTAAAAAACAAGTGTGAAAAACCTGTAAGGTGATTGCTGAGTGATCTCATACTGACTAACAAAGCCTTCATACTGGACTTTTGAAAAACTAAATGATAAAACAAAAGGGAATGTAACATTTTTTTTCTTGTTTTCTGAGAAATACAAACAAGCATTGCCACTTCTTCAGTCAGTTATTTTCTTTTGACCTTCTCTAAGTACAGGCACTTAGCTTTCTGAAGTGATGATTAACTAAGTAGTGACGATTCAGTTTTCTTGGTTTCTTCTCTACTTTAACAACATACAAAGGAACTGTAAGGGTAACATTCCTGCGGCCTTCGGGGGTCACTTGCGGCTGTCCCCCGTCCCTCCCCGGCCCCCCGGGACCCCTCCGGCTCTCTGTCCCCTCAGGGGACCGGGGTTTGCCGCGGTCCCGCTGCACTGGGCTCACCAGGCAGCGGCTGGGTTAGCACGGTCCGAGCGGCGGTGCGCCTCGGTCGCCGCAAGGAGTCGAGATAAAGAGACGAAGAGAGGTCAGTTGTGTGCAGTCCAGAAAGATTGTATTGCCTGAACGGTTGCAGGGACAAGAGACCCTGGGCTACTGCCCAGATACAGTTTTATACAGCAAAATTAAGAGATAAGGTCTAAACAATAGAGACAGTGTTCAGCATGGGCCCATCAGAACCACCCCAGGGGTCAGGTCCAATGGGAACTGCTCAGGGGTGGGGAGAAGGGGGTTTACATAAAGATGCTGAAGCGAAACTTTCCCGAAACAATGGGGCATACATAAGTGTATCTTTTCCTCATACCTAAATGTATCTTTTCCTCAGTTTCCAATTCCCAAGGCCTTTCTAAATCCCTTCCTCCACACTACCACGCCAGCGCGATAGCAACATCTCCCTCTTCTTTACTTAATAAGATGAACGGTGCCCTGGGAGAAGGTAAAACTGCGTCTCTCAAACTGCAGTGTCCTTCTGCTTGTCGTCTTCCCACCAATCGCCCTCCGTGGCGGCAGCAGCGATGAGAACAGGTGCGGAAGCCTCAGGCTTCGAGGTGATGACCTTGGAGATTATTCCCTTAAGAATCCCAAATGCTAACAGAACTAAAAACAGTGCAGCTAGAAAGTAAAAGATGTCTTTTAAAAGAGACACTGCCCACCCAGAAAGGTCCCAGTCTTTGAACAGATCCTTAAACCAATCTTCATTTTCTTGCTTCACACTCCCAATGAGGCGTCTCATTTCCTGAATGGACGAGTGGACACTCTGGCCTTTAGATGACAGATCAAAACAACACAACCCATCAAACTCTTTACATCCATGACCATGTGCCAACAGCAGGAAATCAATAGCTGACCGATTTTGGAGGGTAGCCTTTCTGGTTATTTCCTTGTCTTCTAGGAGGTCACTCAGGGCTGCTGATGTTAAATTTGCCTGCTTCGTCACCCAGCATTCCAGATTGCCTAATTCACTCAATGCTTTTGCTGCCGCAACCCATGGTAAAAACACAGAGACGGCAACTCTTTTGGATTTTGCCCAATGGTAAATTTCTGCATCACAATGTTCATCAAATTGACTTGCACTTCGCTTAGTAATTTTTGTCTCACCTTTTGCTCGCCCGATTGGAATTTGGGTCATGTTGGGGGAAGCAAGGGTCAGATGCCTGAAAGTGCATGGACCTCCGATAAGACGAGAGGGGATTCCTGGGTATGCTCTGTCCCCACAGATAAGAAACACTCCCTTGTCCAGCTTGCGGGGACGGAAATCAGTGGTGGATGCAAATTTCAGCTTATAGACAGCTGTGCACCATTGACCCGCCCTGAATTCTACCTTGTACTGTTTGACTTGCTCATATAGTTTTACTTCTTTGGTTGGGGAAAAATCAAATTGAATGCAATATTCAGCTTTTGTGGAGCCCAGGAGTTCTAATTCCTGGGGCTCTCCCTCAGCAGACGGCAAGTGTAGGATCCACTTTTGCCACAAAATGAGGGGGTTTTGCACTGGTATTTTAACTTGTTCTACAGCTCCTCGGTGCCTGTAGAACTCTGCCCCCGCCTCAGGTATTTTATTTTCGTTCACCTGCTTTTGCAAGCGGACCAGACCGATTGGGAACTCATCCCCCTTACTTGGAACCCCTACTAAACATGTGGACATTGGATTTTCTGCTGAGGCAGTAGACAAACACATGTGATCTTGTTTCAAGGCTTGGGTGAGTGTGACCCACACATTTTTCTTGGGCTGTGGAACAATCCACGCGTCCACCGTGTATGGGTAGATGGCCATTTTCTGGAACCAAACGATGAGCAGGAATGTGGAAATTTACATTCTGCTAGTCTGAAAGAAAGATAAAATCATATAACAAGGTAAACTAACTCTGAAAAAGGTACAATTTGCTCTGCCAGTATAAAGGAAAAAGATTCCCCCTGCTCCCACTTTCCCCCCTTGTGAAGGAGGAGGCCCTGCAGACCCCGGAGTCCTCGGGGTTGCTGCTGCTGAAGCAACCACCCTTTCCCGCGGACTTATCACTGAGTCCTCTGTCATTAGTGTGGCTTTTCTCGTGCACTCCTCAATGAGCTGATCGAGTGTGGGTGGAGGCGATGCTGGAAGGGCCATGATGACTCGTTGACAGGCTTCATTTGCATTTGTGGTGGCAATTTCTAGTGTGAGCTGATCTTGGAGCTCTGGATTTTGCACCCTTTTCTCGACTGAAGCTCTCACTCGATCCACAAAATCCATGAACGGCTCTGCAACAGACTGCTTCAAAGCGGTGTAAGAAATGACAGGTTGTTTAGAAGGCATGTTAAAAAATGCACGTTCTGCCGCATCCCTGGACAGGTCTAACACTGATCTGGGAATGCCTGCTGCTTGCTTCTCAGCTTGGCTCCAATCACCCTCACCCACTAGATGTTCTAAGGTGATTTCCTCATCCTCTAGATCTGTGAAATGGGTTGGACTCTGCAAAATCTCTGGAAGGAGGTCTCCTGCAAGCCTTTTCCAAGTTCTTTCCCACAATCTAAATTCAGATTGAGGGAGCAAACAGCTGAAAAGACGTTTCAAATCAGCAGGGACAAAAGTTTTGGAACCTAGAGTAGCTTTTAAAATGCTCTTTAAAAATTCACTCCTTTCTCCAAATTCACGTTTTGTTTTGCAGAGTTCCCTGATACTGTCATATGAAAGGGGCTCCCATCTAGGGTTTTGTCCTCTTGCATTATAAACCACTGGGGCCATGAACGGAGGATCGGTGTCTCTGGCCAGTTTCTGTTTCCCGGAGCCGACAGTCCTGGTGCTGGCAGCTCCAGCGCTGCCGCTGCCGAGGGAAGCAGGAGCGAGAGGGGGGGCGGCTTGTGTGGAGTGGCCGCAGCTGGAGGGGCCGTGTGGAGCGGGGCAGGGGCAGGGGCAGGGGCAGGGGCAGGGGCAGGGGCAGGGGCAGGGGCAGGGGCAGGGGCAGGGGGTGGTGATGGAGCTGCGAGGGGAGGAGCTGAGGGCTGGACCGTGGGCTGAATCGCCGCAAGGGAGGAGGGATTGGGATTGGGGATGGGCAAAGGGAGGGACACGAGGGCTGGGGGTGTGTTCTGGGCTGGCACGGGGAGCAAGGAATTCTGGGATGGAGAAGGGAATGTCGCGGTGCCGCCTCCATCTTGTGGTGGCTGCACGAGGGGGGCGGGGGGTGCAAAGCATGGATTTTGAGCTGCGGGAGCGGAATCAGGAGATGGAGAAGGGTCAGGAACTGAATCTACATCTGCGCGGTTAGTTTTGTCAAAGCCGGGGACGCAGGGGGTTACAGGGGACGCGATGTGACCCTTTTCTGTTCCCCGGACGTCCCGAGTGTCTGCACTCTCTTTCACAAAGTCATAAATGAACAAAAAGATTCTCATAAAACCTTCTTTCACTGAGGGATCTCCTGCTTTTGTCCTTTCACTCAACACTGCACCCACACACTTCCAAAACTGTCTTTCTTTCACTTCTTGCTCTGTTACCTCCGAAAAACTTACTGTTACCCATCTGACAAACTCTTTCACCAGGCTCTTAGGAAGTTTTGCACCTGCTCTCTGCAGGGGTTCTTGAACTTGTTTATAAATCTCTTTCTGCTGTGTAGTCAGCGTAACACCCATCGCTGGCAGCACAGCAAAATCTCACCCAGCTGCTGCAGCAAAAACCCCAAAGTTCTAAAGACCCGGCGGAGCTCCCGACACACCTGCGCGCTGGCGTGTCCCCCCTTGGGCACACGGGAGCCTGACTCCAGTCTCCTGGCTGGACCCTCCCTGCCAGTACCGAGACTTACCCACCGCCGTTCTTCAGAAAACACACTGCAGCAACGGTTCCCGACTCCGCAGACAGTCTTCCGGGTGTTCGGAAGGTCCCGTCCGCATCCACGGGCACAGCGCCGGACAGAAATCGGTGCCTGTCCCCGCGGCGGCAGTCCTGCCGGGCTGTGTGGAAGGGCGAGTGCCCACACCACCAGCGCGGTCCGAGAGCTTCTCCCTGCGGAGCAGACAGCCTGCGTGGCGGTTTTTTCGCACCGCTCGCCGCTCTGTCGCTCGCGGCGACACAGATCGCAAAGAGTCTGGAAAAGCTCCCAACCGGTGCACTGCCCGCGGCGGCCGTGGCGTGTTCGCTCGAACCGGTGCAATGCCTCACGTTGGTGCGCCACTTGCGGCTTTCGGGGGTCACTTGTGGCTTTCCCCCGGCCCTCCCCGGCCCCCCGGGACCCCTCCGGCTCGCTGTCCCCTCAGGGGACCGGGGTTTGCCGCGGTCCCGCTGCACTGGGCTCACCAGGCAGCGGCTGGGTTAGCACGGTCCCAGCGGCGGTGCGCCTCGGTCGCCGCAAGGAGTCGAGATAAAGAGATGAAGAGAGGTCAGTTGTATGCAGTCCAGAAATATTGTATTGCCTGAACAGTTGCAGGGACAAAAGACCCTGGGCTATTGCCCAGATACAGTTTTATACAGCAAAATTAAGAGATAAGGTCTAAACAATAGAGACAGTGTTCAGCATGGGCCCATCAGAACCACCCCAGGGGTCAGGTCCAATGGGAACTGCTCAGGGGTGGGGAGAAGGGGGTTTACATAAAGGTGCTGAAGCGAAACTTTCCCGAAACAATGGGGCATACATAAATGTATCTTTCCCTAATACCTAAATGTATCTTTTCCTCAGCTTCCAACTCCCCAAGGCCTTTCTAAATCCCTTCTTCCACACTACCACGCTAGCGTGATAGCAACAGAAGCTGATAGTAAAAGGGTTTTAAAATCATGGGGATTTAGGGTTAAAAGGAAAATTAGGCTTAGTAGGCCCTGAGAAAAAAATAAATACCCTAGGTACATGAAGACCTTGTACCTTGCTAGAACAGTACCTGTGTAGCTAGTACATGATAAATTATGTAATTGTTGGATGTGATGATTGTTTCATAATTAAATATAATTGCTGTTTAATTGTAAGAATAATCCTGAGAAACTGTGGTCAGGGGCCTAAGAAAGATCACAAGAAACTCATGGTTGAATAAAGTCAATGTCTACAATAGACGAATATAAGTTTAATAATTAATATGTAAGTTATATAACGATAGAATATAAAATATGTTCAGCTCGAAAGCCATGTCGAAGTAAAATTTGGGTCTGTACCCCTGATTCCCAGAGCTCTCAATAAAAGCACCTGCATATAATCATATCCCGTGATTATGTGCGCTCCTAAACGCTAATAAAGCCAGACCAAGAAAATGGCCCAAAGCATTGCACAGGACTGGGAGAGAAGGCACTGTTGGCATAACAGCTGAAACAATTCCTAACAAATCTCCCACATATTTGCATGTTTATTGGATATGCCCAGGGCTCCTGAGGATGTACATCTCTGCCTTTATTCCCCTTTGGAAGCAGTCAAACTGGCAGCACCTGCCCACCAGCAGGAGCTGCTCCGAGCTGGGAACACGACTGGTGGTGCTGATTTCCAGAGGCTTCTGTGTCCCAGGAGAAGATAAGGAAAGAGCGGATTGAGAGGTGCTGGCGCTGCTGCTGCTCTGTGCCAGAGAGCCCCGGCTGGGCAGGGCACGGCGCTGCAGGCTCTTTCTCCTGCCAGAGCTGGGCACACCTGGGAACAAGGCATGGCAACTTGTGGGAAACCAAAGGCTTTGTGGGGGCTGCATTGCTCAGCACACACCCAGGCCTCATCAGTGCCATGCCTGAAGGACGCTGCCCTGTGCTCCAGCCTGCCAAGCAGCCCGGCTCCTGCCCCGGTGCCCAGAGTGCTGCACACACTGCTGACCTTTGCCAGGAGTCGCAGGGCAGCCGGCACAAGAGTGGGAATGCTGAGCCAGGCCACCGGCCCTCGGCTGCCAAAGAGGGCCTTCGCGATACAAATCCAAGTGGCAGGCACCCAAATGCTCTCGAGTCACAGCTGAAGGCCTGCATCTGCACAGGATGTTTTGGCTGCCCCACTCGCCCTTTGGTTTTTCCTGCAAATGCCATTGCCCTTTCTGCCTCAACTGGAAGTGCCACAGATGTGCCAAACGGGGCCGGTGGGCCGTATGTCAAAGGCAGTGTAGTCTGGAAAAGAGGAATGAAGAAGAGCCTTCTCCATTTACAAACCATACCAAAGAAGCCATAAGTGTGTCTCAGCACCAATAAAGGACAACTGGCAATTCAGAAGGAAATGTTTTCTGAAGGGGTCAGAAGGAGGGGAATCTTCCAACGACTTGATGCTTCAAAAACTTTATTTAATTATAATCCTATCTATAAACCTATACTACAAAACTACTTAACAATCCTACTCTAGAGTCCTACTCTACAATCCTACTCTAACTTGGTAATAATATCTTCATCGTTAGATTCTTGTCTTCTTCGTCTTCTTCGTCTTCTTCATCTTCACTGAGTTGATGAGTGGTGCCAGGACGGACGTTGGCTTGGCTGCTGTTACAAATGGATGCTAATCCACAGGAAAAAAAAACAACAAAGAACAGTGAACCATGACCTTCCAAGCTCAGTGCTTCACAGACTAAATCAGGATTCCTCTAGCTCCTAGAAGGACCCAGAAAGTAAAACAATGGGACCATCTGTTCCCCACTCATCATGTGCAGGAGCTTGCCATCACAGGCAAACCTGGCCCTGAATCCCACTCATCCATTTATTCTGGTTTCTCCATCTTGCCGGGATTTTTGCCCTGCTAGTGCTCTAGAAATGGTGCTTTCTGTCCCTGGGGTTTCTTCCTTTCAAGAAGCTCCAATGACTCCCATAGGTCCCTGTCTTGGAAAGACAAGCACCGTGCTAATTTCCACAGGCACACAGAGCAGTGTCTGCCTTTCCATGCCCTGCCCCTCCTGTGTGGGATGGCACCTTCCTTCCCAGCAGGGCCAGCCGAGTGGCGCTGGGTCCTGCAGTTCCCTCTCTGCCACACAACCTGGCAGTCAGCCTGGGCCAGTTCCCCTCTGCCTGAGCGTGCCAGGCAGCAGATGGGGCTGGGACAAGTCCCTCTCAGCTGTCCCTGTTTGTGTGCCAGAAACCTCTAAGGGTGGGGTGGGGGGCACAAACCAGGGCCCCTCAGAGGCTCACAGTGAGTCCCTCACAGCCCCTCCTGCCCACAGCCAAATCTCTCCAGAGTGCTGTGCCAGGACTGGCAGCCTTGGGTTCCTCCACCACCATTTCATGTCTCTCTACCCTGCATTGCTGTACTTCAGTTCTTTTACCATTAGATAAAACTGAACATCCCACCAAATCAGGGCAACAGAAACAGCCAGAAAACAGAGCACCTGTCCTCTCAGGAAATGCGGAGAGAGGTGGAGTTATTCACTTTTGTGAAGAACAGGCCCCAGGGAGACTTTATTGCTGCTTTCCAAGATTTCAGAGTGGCTTTGAAGAAAGTGGGGGTAACCTTTTTTAACAGGGCCAGTTACAAGAGAGTGTGGGCAAATAGTTTTAAACACATGGGGATCTAATCAGAGTAGGTCTAAGGAAGACCTTCTTTTCTCGGAGCATGGTGCCACCCTGGCACAGGTTGTCCCAAGAGCTTGTAGGTGCCCCCATCCCTGGAATCATTCCAGGTCAGGTGGGATAGGACTCTGAGCAACCTGATCTCTTTAAAGATGTCCCTGCTCATTGCAGGTTACTTGGACCAGAGGACTTTCCAGAGCCCTGCTAGCCCAGCCCAGTCTAGGATTCCTCACTGTTTTCATTTGAACATCACCAAGAGTGGAGGTGAGGAGGAAGGGGGCTCATCTGATGCCTCGGACCTCCGTGGAGGAGGAGCCCATCCCTCAGACACTGTTTCACCTCAGCCCCTTGGCATTTTACCTGCAGGAGCCTCTTGGCAGACCAGCGCTGCTCTTTGTCTGTCTGCAGGCAGCAGCTCAGGAAGTCACGCAGGGAAGGTGAGAATCGGTTGGGTTTACGCAGCTGTGGTCTCTCTCCTCTGGCTATCGGGAGTTCAGCCTGCAGGAAAAGGAAACACGAGGCTCCACCTGCTTCTTTCCCATCTGTAACTGCTCTCCCAGAACCCACTGTTTAAGCTCCACTCTGCAGAGCAGTTTCTGGTAAGATGGAGATGGTAAAGGAAAGATGACTTTCCTTTACCAACAAAAAACCACGGCTTTTCCAACATCCCGCTGATCCTGCCTTGGCAGTCAATTTCATTGACTGACCCAGTTAGTGGGAGCTACCTCAGCAAAGCTTCTTTCCTTCTTGGAGGATTCACACCACCTTGACAGGCTTTTCAGAAGATGGACTCTGCTACACTAACACTACTATTTCCAAGGATTAGTACATGAAAGGCATCTCTGCAGTGCTTGTTGGTCCCTTAAGCACAGCGGTCATAAACCAAAACTCATTGAGCTTCTTGTCCTCTTCTAGAAAACAGAGGTGCATGGGAGGCAAGAATGGAGATCCACCAGGTATTCCTCAGGGTGAGGAAACAAACATTTGGAATCTCATATTCAACACAGACCCTTTAAGACACCTGCACAAATGTATTGGGATGAAAATGCCGGCTTAGGCACACAGGAGCCACCTGCAGCTCTGTCTCTCAGCTGCAAGTTTCAGCCTCTTTATGTGGCAAAAGGAAACCTTTCCAAGGTTAAATCAGAAGAAGAAGCACCATCCCGATGGTCACCCTCTGCTCATTTGTATACTCAAGTCAATGCATTAATGGCGTCCCCATCGCAAAAAATGTCTGTAAGAAGTGGGAGGTTTTGACAGGCTCTCCGTGACACCAGGCTGCAGCCTGGTCTCCAGAAAAATGCCCATCACAATAGTAACAGCTCTGTGCTGGTGGCACTGAACTAGATGGTGACCAAAAAGACTTTGTTATTATCCTCTTCAACCCAGAGGAAAATTTGCAAGCCCAAGACAGCAAGCACACTCCCCTGGAGTATAAATAATTATGGCAGCTTTCTTTCCTTTTCCCACACCCTCAGAGGTCACAAAGGGGGCTTTATCCTGTCTCTCTGCAACTGAGCTCAGCCACTGGACATGGTGGGGAGCTGGAGTCCTCACTGCCCTTAGCACTGTGCAAGCCAGGGATGGCCCTGCTCCTATGGTAAAGGAACACAGCACCAGCATCAACTGCCCACGTTGGATCCCAGCCCCAGGCACCAGGCTGCAAGCTCATCAACTTTTTAAAAGACCCAGAAACAGCCAAGGGTTTAGTGTAACTGCAGTCGGAGAAAAACACATCCTCAACTTATCCAGGCCACCCACACACATGACTGAGCAATGTACAGATTATTTGAAAGCCTGAAAGTTTTGAAGACCCACAGGACTTGGAAAAGATGCTACAGTGTGGAGGAAAATCAATGTGCTGTGGTTAAAAAAAGAAAAAGAAAGCAAAACTGTTGGGGAAGATGAAACCGGAAAACCTTTACAAATATGTATGCCTGGCAAAAGATTTTGAGAATATGGAAACTGTAAGCGAGATTGAAATGAAAGTAAGCTTTGAGATAGTTACTAGCCTTAGTTACTGAACAACTGGAAAACAATGGTATGGCCAGCTGAAGGTAATCCCCTTTTGATTAAACAACACCCTCTGCTGGCAGACAGGTCCAAGGGTCAGAGCAGACCCTACTAGCTTGGCAGAAGGGGTCCAAAGAGTAGTTTTTAGGGTTTAAAATGTAACACAGTATGGTAATGTAATGATTCTTATAGGCTGTAGCTAAATACTCTAGTATTTGTATCTTGGACTAGATTGGTTAGTGAAAATTTGAACATTCTGCACAGAAGAAGATTTATTGTCTTGTAACAGGAACTTCCTCACTCTTTCGGGTCTCTCTTTTGGGCTCCTCTTTCGGGCCTGCTCCGAGCTGTGGCTGGCAGCTCCAAGCAGGGCCCTGCATCCACTCCCTTTGCAATAAACCGAAAGTTCCAAGACCTGGCTTCAAAGATCTCTCGTCTCCGTCCATCCCGACCGTCCTACCCACTGTCACTCCTACACAAAACTACTTGGGCATTGCTTTGGTGGTTGTGTCTTTTTTTCTTTTTCTTTTTCATTTTCCTTTCTTTTCCGATAAAATTGAAACTGGGAAGGTGTAACGTCAATTTCTTAGGATATTTATCACATGTCTAACCTCTCTACTGAAAAATTCTTGCCCTTCAGAGACAGAGCACCAACGGAGTTCAAAAAGCAAATGAGAAATGTCAGGCAGGTTGCAGGCCAAAATGCCAGGTTTCTGAACTGCTACTTCCCTTCTGATGCAACCGAATTTACAGCAGATGCTGATGTGCTGCAGGGACATGTTTAGAAGGGGACCTTGGTGGAAGTGGTGCCAGCAGATGGCAATGGGATTTGTCCAATGGCACACAGGACATGGGACAGGTGAGAAAGACAAGTGGGATCAGGGAGTATTTGCACCTTACCGAAACAGGAGTTTCATTCCTGTGAGGAAGTTCTCGTTCCACCATTTCGATGCCCACGATTCCAAAAGACCATATGTCCACTTTGGGGCCATATGGTTGACCTGTCAGCACTTCAGGCGCCATCCAGCCAGAAATGCCGGCCACTGAGCTCTGTCTACGCTGCTCAGGGGTGAGCTGAGCAAAGAGGCCAAAGTCAGCTGTGGACAAATAAACATACCATGAAAGCCAGGTCAAGTTAGGAAATCAAGCAAAAGAATTCCCCACTCTCAGTCTATGTGTTGTTGAATCTCCTGAAGAACTGTCCACACTCAGTTTCCTTGGGGCTTTAGCCAAGGAAGTATGGAATTGGCCACTTCCAAAAAAATCACAGTTTTTTTAACGCTGCTCACAGCAGTGGCCTTTATTCCCCTGAAGCTTTAGATTGTAGCTCCCTCCCTCTGGAAGAGACACAAACACACCAACGCCACTCTTGACTTCTCCTGGTTCCTTATACCTCTGTGCACGTTGCAACCGTGCCTTCAGCTCACAGCGGTGGGGCCCTGCACTGCCACCAGCACCATTTCTGAGGAGCTGGCAGCCACTCAAAGCAGCCCCTCACCCCACATCCCTGAACGCTGCACCTGACCAGGAATATACTGACCCAGCTTGACAGAGCCATCAGTTCTGAGAAGGATGTTGTCGCTCTTCACATCTCGGTAGATCACGTGGTTCCAGTGAAGAAAATCCAATCCTTGCAGGCACTGAGAGAGAAAACAGAAGCAGGAGGGCAAAAATTAGTGATTTCATCACACAAGAAAGGAAACAGAGTCTCTAAAAGATTCCCTCTGCATGGGAATGGCGAGTAATGGCAGAACACAGTGCCATTGAGAGGAAGAGTTGCTGCTCCAACACTTGCAGAGCAGGACTTTTCTAAGGAAAGGCATGTCAGCTTTTGAAAGAGCAACAGCACCTGCTGTTGTAGACTGTCCCCTGCAAACCAGCCAGGATGACTGCTGCTGCAGTGGATGTGCTTTCTCCATGCAGAGGGCAAAGGAGGGGTTTGGCCAAGAAAGAAAAAAGTCCCTCTCTTTGGTGTGAAGCGGATCACTTTTGGGTGGGAGGCTGCATGACGAGAGTTTTGTTGCTGGCCTCAGCACAGACTTGAAGTATCACATCAGTCACCTTCCTGAAGCAAAGAGCATTTTGGCTGCACTACTGTCCTTTTCAGTTGAGGACTGTGAGAAATGAGTCTCTGTTTTTTCTCAGCTGATCATTTCAAATCCTGCCACCAGCACCTTTGCTTTTACAGGCAAGGAATGCAGTGCAGACAGGCTCAAGATACAAGTTTAGGGAGGCAAGGTGGAGAAGAGCAAATACAAATACAGGAGGCAGAGTGAGAATACAACAGCAGGAGATAAGAGTACAAGAACTGAGTACAGTGAGTGCAGGAGCACTGGCAGGCAGTTCCCTTGAGATGCTTTTACTTGCCCATAGCATACCAGCACTAGGAAAACAAAGTTTATACATGAAACCTCTCCTGTTCTGAGCCTCTGTTTCCCAGACAATCCTGCCCAAGCCCTCGGAAGCACAGGTGGGCTTGCTGACCTCTCGACTGATGACTGCTATCTCGTCTTCAGACAGGTAGATCTTGCTGATGGCATCGCTCAGAGTGCCTCCATCCATGAACTCCATAACCAGCCAGAATTGATTATCCACAAGGTAGCTGAAAGAAGGAAACAAGAGCATGGAGGTAAACATGCATGGTTAGTTTATTTTCTTGGTTCTTATTTCCAAGTCCCTGTGTGACAAGGACAGAAGAAAAGGAACAGACATTCCCTCTAGGCTGTGCATTGTTTGAAACCTGTCTCAAGAAGAAAGGCACAGCTTTGGAAAAGGAGATGTCTTAAATAGCCAGCAAGTAAAAACTGCAGTTTAGGAACAGATAAAAAACTTGTCACACTGCGTGTTTCTGGAAATAACCACCTAGTCTTCCTGGCATGCAAAGCAATGGAAAAGAGGGGACACAATCCAAGGAAAATCCATGTTAGTTTACCCAGACGTAAGAGGACTGTTGAAAAAAGTCAAGTCCCAAAATAATGTGGTGGCTGTGAACTTACAGGCTATTAATTTAATTAGATATGACTGATGCAGATTTTTGAATAATTTTCAAACTATGTGTGCCAGGGAATACTCCTGCAGACAAGATGCACTCTCTTCCCATCCACTGGAGATGAGCAGAGCAGTAATAATTAACCAATAATTACAGCTCTGTTTTGTGCCAGTGAACAATCTTGCATGTTTGCAATATGTAAACAAATATTTACAACAACTCACCTGCCTAAATAGTTGACCACGTTGGGATTCTTATTTATCTTCACAGTCATGAGTTCATAGACTTTTAGTTCCTTCTTCGTCAGTCCTTGGAGATTTATTTTCTTTATGGCCACCTAAAATGACACTGAAAATCAGTAACTTGAGAAGTTGGTGGCACGAGATCACAAGGCACATGGAGCGAGTGATTTTGCAATGACACAGCCAAGCTGTGCCAAACTGCATTCTGATTAGGCATTGCAGTAATTAGGAACTGACATTGCAATAGCCCATTTCTCTGCTCCCTTGGGGGCCAGTTACAGGACACGTGGCCACTGAGGTTTTGCCGTGTCCACTTGGTAACAGTGGTATCTCAACTATCACCCACAAACCTCTGAGCCCACTCCCTGCTGCTTTGTATGGGATTCAGAAGAAGTAATCCATGCCTTAATACTCTGTGGCTAATCCAGGGCTATGGGCAGGGCTTAGGGCTTCTAGGGACGCCTTGCAGATCTCTCCCTATGTGCAGTTCCCAAGTGCAGCACTGCAGGTGTCTGAGGAGCTACCGGTAACTCTCAGATGCATTTGCTGGCAACCAGAAGTGAGAATTCAGGACTCTGAAGCTGTCGCCCCAAAGAGCAGTGAGATGCTCTAAGGCACCACCTTTGCTTTAGCAATTGAGAGCGAGTGAGCACATCCTTCTCTGAAATGAACTGCTGCCCTGCGTGCCTTCCTTCTGGCAGCTGAGAAGGACAAAGACTGTCCCCAATGTATTTTGCAGGCTGGTACCAGTCTGTGTTTCTTTTGCCTCTTCAGCACAGCTCTACCCAAAGCTCTGGCCACAGCTGCTCACACCAGAGGGGAAAGCCCCTCGAGTGCAGCAGAGTCTGAGGGGGCTGTTGACATTTACCTCTCCTCCTGTGGCTTTGTTGAGTGCTCTAACCACATGTCCAAAAGTCCTAGAAACAAAAAAGCAGCAAAGAAATGAGAAGCCATTTAGCTCTTGCAGTGAAAGCCAGCCCACACAGGAGATCTCTGCTGCAAATGCCTAAGACCTGCAGGATGCAGGCGGGCTCTGCCAGAAGGCAGATGATGCATTTTCCTCTCAAGTGCATGGGCACTGGGCCTGTCCCTGAAGTGCTGCCATCTACTGCCTCAGCTCCTAAAGAGAGCTCCTTCTTTCATCTCAGGTTTCATGTTCTAAATTGCGCAGTTTTCATAGTTTTCATCCTGACCGTGGATAATTTCCTTCAGCAAACTCTTGGAAAGAAATGTTCCTGAGAACTGTTATCTGACAGCTATCAGGGAGTAGGTTGCACTTTCAGGCAAGCAAGTTTCTTCCCCTTTTATTAGTGTGGCTGTATGATTTGGAGAGATAGAAAAATGCTAAGGAAATTAACACAGAGCTGTCCCACACTTGAGAGACAAGGAGATCTTCCAGGCCCTGTTCCTTGCTGCAGGCAAGAGACCTTGGCAGCATGAAGATGTCTCTGACAATACCTTCAGGGCACACTCACAAATTCTGAGCAGCACTGAGAGATGGGACAATCTATCCCCAGTGTCTGAACATGGCAATAGATGTCTGTTTGCAGCTGGCCTCACTTCACACTGCATAGATATTCCACCAGAAAAACACCTGGCCCATGGTTATGGAGAAGTAACTGTGGTTGGACTCACCCGCTGCCAATATATTCCAGTTCAGAATATTTCCCCACGGGGTTTTCCATGTTCACTATTTTCCCTGAGGGAAACAAAATGCAAGATGCTCACTTTAAAGCAAAGATCCCAGCTTCCAGAAGATGCAAAAGGCAGCCCCAGAGCCTGAAGCTTTGAACTCTTTGTGGTCGCCTGGGTAACAACAGCAAGCAGGCCGACAGCTCTGCAGCACAGGTGGCCAGCACACAGACTGATTTTCTACAGCAGTTCCCGTGGGGAAATGTCTCTAAATGTCCCTGGGACACCAATCTCAGGAAAAACATTTGGTACAGCTATGCTGAAACATGCACACAATACACTGTCCCTCAGAGAAGAAATACAGCAGACGTACTCAGTTGCTCCAGGGAGTCATCCTTGATCTCCTGGTGCTGAGCAGCGCTGGAGATGGGCAAACTGCCCCGGCTCCACTTCCCAGGCTGGGGAGCAAAGGCTCCTTTAGACAATGCTGCTGCTGCAGCAGGTTTGACAAAGCCCTTGTGGATCTGGAACAAGAAATGAGTTTGTCAGAAAGGTGCCTGGCAGAGATTAGCCTGAAATTCCATTTCAAATGCAAGCCCTTGGTAAGGTTCTATCAGCCACATGCAGGGCTCTTAAATGGGTTTTTTCTGATGTCCACTTCTCAAACTGGATGGGTCAAAACCAAAGGTTAGTTCTACTCAAGTTCATGGCCAGATTCATGTTCCATTTTCATGGATTTTCTGAAGGATCACTGCCACAATGACCATTCTGCTTCCTCTCAAGGATTCCTTTCCCACTCCAAGGGCTTCAGACACATTTGCAGCTCCTTGTTCAAATGTTCTGCCTCCTCCCACTGTGTCCTCTTTTCCTGCACCATCTTCAGGTCATGCTCAACTTGTAGTAACTTTGGTGGGGACAGTTCCTGTACCTCATGCCAGGCCTGGGGCTCTTCATTGCCACTCATTTGCTGGAAGTCTTTGCAGGCTGCCCGGCGAGATGTCAACATTTGCACCTCAAGTCAAACAGAAGAAAGCAGTCAGAGACTACGGCTTATCCCTGTCAGTCAAGAGTCATTGACTGTGAGGAAAGGGAAAGAACAGATTTACAAGGGGTACAGACAGCTTGTTTCAATCCTCCGTCTGGGTCACCATGTTCCCCTGTAAAAACACCTCAAGAAACAAGGAGAGCAGGAACAGGCCAGCAAGAATCAATTTGGATGACTGCTGGCCAAAAGGCCAAAGGACAAGTCCCACTGTCCAGGGCAGCAGTTGAGATTCAGCACACCAGGAAATGTCCTTCAGAGTGTCTGGGGTACACACTACAGCAGGATGGCACTCAGAGGCATCACCTCACTCCCTGAAGCCCTGCACTGGAAAGGCAAGAAGGGCAGAAACCACCAGTTTGGTGACTGCAGTGGCTATCCCTCTTTCACTCACTTGCTCTTGTAGAGCCTGAGGGAGACGATTAAGTTTTTCTCTGATGATTTTCATTTCTTCTTCCTGCCTCTTCTCCTTTGCCTTCATCTTAGTGTCAATTTTCTGAAACTCCGTGTCCAGCTGTTCCTTCAAGTTCTGTAAAATACAAGAGAGAGGATCTTTCATGAGTGGAGTGGCTGCCACTCTTTCACTCACCTGGTCTTGTTGATCGCCCCTCTGCTGACGGAGATTCATCTCCTCTTGAATTCCTCTCATGTCTTCCTTGTTCCCCTTCTTCACTTCCATGATGGCACTCTGAGCCCCGGGCAGCTCTGCTTGTGACTCTGCCTTGATGTTCTGTACACACAAATGCAGAGCAAGTGACTGGGAGCTGCCATCAGGCTCAGCTTTTTCCTCTTGCAGCTTCAAAATCCCATTTATTCAGCCACTTCTTTCTGCTTCCCTACCCACCTCTGCTTCCAGTGCAACCCTCCTGTCCCAGTGCTGACTTTGGCAGATTCCAAGGCTCTGTGCTTTCAGTGCCTCTGGGACTCCTGACCTCCTCAGTCCCAAGAGCTCCATTTTATGCCCCTTTTCCTGCCCTTCCCTCTGAAACCTGGCGAGTCAGGCTTACCTGGCCATTCTCCTGTGGCTCTTCCACCTGCTGCCTGAGCTGCTCTTCCTGCTCTCGGGCTGGGAACAGCTCTCCCCGAGTCTGCCATGGCATCTCTGACAAAGCAGGCTGCTCCTGCTCTTTCTCTGGAAGGACCTGCACAGAAAGCAAGAGAAGATGGGTTTCAACTTTCCAGACAACATTTGAGGGCCAAGACTCAAGGACTGATGGGCTCACACGTTCCCAAAGCACTGTGCTGCAGCTCTCCTGGGTCATTCTCTGCCCATGAGGAGGCACAGAAGCCAAAGTGACCCTGGCACTGCAATCAGGGGCCATCTGGGGCTGAAGCTCAAGCAGCCTCTGAGGCAGCTGACAGGGAAGGTGTGGCATTTCTCAAGGGTCTGCTGAGGGCCTCCCTCTGCTTCTGCCTTGCTCTGTTTGTCTTTCAGTAGTGAGTGACACCCCACCCTGTCCCACAGCTCCATCCTGGCTCTGCAGGTGGCTTCCTCTGTGAGCTCAGCCCTTGTGAGAGACACTTCTGGAGTTCATGTTCTCTTCACCAACTAAAACATGGAATTCTTCCACCTCTCTGGGACAGGCTGAACATTAAAGCATTAACGGGGGGCTTCAGGAAGAAGAGGCTGGAGGAGGAAACCATGTCTGAGGGGAAAAAACCACCACATCTGGAGGAGGAAACAGCTCTGCCTGCTCAGAATCGGTCATCAGAACATGTCTTTAATCCTCTCCTGAAAGGGATGCTTTACGTGAACTTTGCACCTCCAACTGCTTTGGACCAGAGCCAAGAAGATTCAATTATGCAAATGTTACATAGATAGATAGATAGATAGATAGATAGAGAGACAGACAGACAGATCTCACTTTTATAATCTCTCTTTACTATCAGTTTTGTTCCTACATACATCAACACTTGGTAGCCATTGCCCCAGTCAGCAGCAATCCCGAGATTGCTCTCCTGTTCCTTCAATAAACCACACTCTCAGGGAATCTGGAGCATTTAGGTCCTTATGGAATACAAGAAGATCCAGAGCATTGCACTGGGAACTGCACTCTTGCAGCATCTGTGCTTGGCCAAGTGCTTCTCTTGGACTCGACCACACTGACACTGCTAAAGGGGCTGCAATCAGGAATAAAGGCCAGGCCCTCCCAGCTCCTCTGATCTTTGAGAACCAGCTGGAATGCAAGAGCATTGATTTCCTGCTCAATTCCCAAACACCACACCTCCTGATTTCCTGGGTTGCAAAAAGACACAGGGACTGTTAATATGAAAGCGAAGAGCAAGGCCCTGTTGACTGGCCTGGCACCACAACAGCTCCCTGCCCCAAACAATGTGTTCTCATGCAAAAATACTGCATCCTCCAGAAAGGCCCCCTTACAAAAGAAAATGCAAACAGAATCTTTACAAGTGCAGGAAAAGAGTAGGAAAGATGGAAGAAAATCCACTTGCATTGCTAAAAACCAAGAAATTGAACAGGAATACTCCTCCTAATAAAGGAACAAAAACAAGACAGAAGAGCGACAGATGCCAGTGGAAAAAGCACTAGGATAACGTGAGGAGATATTTGCCGATGAAACAGCCCGTGTGGCAAGCACTGTCATGTATGGATCCATGGAAGTGTGCCTGAAGGTCTTTCACGAGGCTCCCGTTGTCCAGTTGTCCAGGCTAAAGCTCCCTCAGCACATCCTCCTTGGCCTTGAGCTCCACACCCTTCCCCAGCTCCCATGTCCTTCTCTGCACACCCTCCAGCCCCTCAAGGACTTTCTGCTTCAGAGGGGCCCACACGTGGACACAGCACTCCCAGCTATGGCCACAGTGCTGCCCAGCCCAGGGGGACGGTCACTGCCCTGCTCCTGCTGCCCCACTGCTGATGACAAAGGCCAGGATACCCTTGGCCTTCTTGGCCACCTGGCCAGGCACGGGCCCACGTTCAGGTTCTCTTGACTGCCCAGCAACAAAGTTGCCCATTGGACTCAAAACACAGCATCCACCATTTCAAAATGTCCTTCCTCTTCTGAGCAACACAAGACTGCAGTCATGGACTTGCTGCTTCAACCCCCCGCCCCGCCTCCAGGCTGCAATGCACTTTTCAAAGCTGCAGACTACACCAAAAAATGCATCCACAGAACCTTGCTTTTTGCCTCACAAGAGGGCTTCACAATTATAAACTTAGTTTCTTTGACCAGGTCTTGTCCCCCACAGATTCATGGACAACACACTCGTCTACTTGCAGCTTATCAAAAGTCACAAGACAGCTGAGCCGCACACTTTGTAGAACTGAATAAATACTCAAGCAACCGCAGACCCGTTTCACCAGCCAAACACATGTTTCCCCAAAGGGAAAGCAAACAAACCAAGCCCTGAGACCTCCAGCACTACCTCGTGCGCCCTTGGCCATGGCCCTGCAGAAGCCCAAGAGACAGAGCTTCACTGAGTTGAGCAGCCAGACCCTCACCCTGAGGCAACAGGCTTTGGTGCCTAAACATGACAGGTCCAAGGCCAATTTCTAGCTGGAGGTCACTGCCTGCAGGAAATCGCTGGGTCCTGGCAGGACTCCAGCACTCAGCATCCTCGGCCAGCAACAGCAAGAGCTGGCTGGTCAGAAACTTCAGCTCTGCCTTGCACTAAAGACAGCACCACCCACAACTGGCACTTACCGGCTCAGAAGATTCAGGCTCTGGTGTGACCCGTGATGGAGCCTTGTGGTCAAACTGCTCAATTTGCTCCTCTTTGGCTTCTTCACCAGGAGCAGAGGGAGCCAGGGCAGACACTGCTGTTGTCTCTATCATCTGTGGCAAGAGAGAAGCATGAGGGACAGGCCATTACCTATCATTTAAAACCGTATTTCTTCTCACATCTACCACCATATCTTGCAAGGAAAATTGAGAAACTTTGATTACAATGGGATTCTAAAGTGCTCTCATGTATTAAAATTGGCTACTACAACTGTAATGCAACTAGCTCTGATTTAAATATCCCAACCTGTCTACTATCAGGTGACAATGATCGATTTGTGTAACTGACCTTTTAAATCTTGATAGCTCAGAAATTCAAAGCAAAACTTTCAGTGCTGTGTTGCACTAAAAACAGCCCCACCCACAACTGGCACTTACTGGCTCAGGAGATTCAGGCTCAGGCGTGACCACTGATGGAGCCTTGTGGTCATACTCCTCAATTTGCTCCTCCACGGCTTCCTCACCAGGAGCAGAGGGAGCCAGGGCAGACACTGCTGTTGTCTCTATCATCTGTGGCAAGAGAGAAGCATGAGGGACAGGCCATTACCTATCATTTAAAACCGTATTTCTTCTCACATCTACCACCATATCTTGCAAGGAAAATTGAGAAACTTTGATTACAATGGGATTCTAAAGTGCTCTCATGTATTAAAATTGGCTACTACAACTGTAATGCAACTTGCTCTGATTTAAATATCCCAACCTGTCTACTATCAGGTGACAATGATCTGATTTGTGTAACTGACCTTTTAAATCTTGATAGCTCGGAAATGCAAAAGCAAAACTTTCAGTGCTGTGTTGCACTAAACACATCACCACCCACAACTGGCACTTACTGGCTCAGAAGATTCAGGCTCTGGTGCGACCACTGATGGAGCCTTGTGGTCAAACTGCTCAATTTGCTCCTCTCTGGCTTCTTCACCAGGAGCAGAGGGAGCCAGGGCAGACACTGCTGTTGTCTCTATCATCTGTGGCAAGAGAGAAGCATGAGGGACAGGCCATTACCTATCATTTAAAACCGCATTTCTTCTCACATCTACCACCATATCTTGCAAGGAAAATTGAGAAACTTTGATTACAATGGGATTCTAAAGTGCTCTCATGTATTAACATTGGCTACTACAACTGTAATGCAACTTGCTCTGATTTAAATATCCCAACCTGTCTACTATCAGGTGACAATGATCGATTTGTGTAACTGACATTGTAATTCTTGAAAGCTAAGAAATGCAAAAGCGAAACTTGCTGCTCTGCCTTGCACTAAAGACAGCACCACCCACAACTGGCACTTACTGGCTCAGGAGATTCAGGCTCAGGCGTGACCACTGATGGAGCCTCGAGGTCATACTCCTCAATTTGCTCCTCTCTGGCTTCTTCACCAGGAGGAGAGGGAGCCAGGGCAGACACTGCTGTTGTCTCTATCATCTGTGGCAAGAGAGAAGCATGAGGGACAGGCCATTACCTATCATTTAAAACCGCATTTCTTCTCACATCTACCACCATATCTTCCAAGGAAAATTGAGAATCTTTGATTACAATGGGATTCTAAATTGCTCTCATGTATTAAAATTGGCTACTACAACTGTAATGCAACTTGCTCTGATTTAAATATCCCAACCTGTCAACTATCAGGTGACAATGATCGATCTGTGTAACTGACATTGTAAGTCTTGAAAGCTAAGAAATGCAAAAGAGAAACTGGCTGCTCTGCCTTGCACTAAAAACAGCCCCACCCACAACTGGCACTTACTGGCTCAGAAGATTCAGGCTCTGCTGAGACCCCTGATGGAGCCTCACGGTCATACTCCTCAATTTGCTCCTCCACAGCTTCCTCACCAGGAGCAGAGGGAGCCAGGGCAGACACTGCTGTTGTCTCTATCATCTGTGGCAAGAGAGAAGCATGAGGGACAGGCCATTACCTATCATTTAAAACCGCATTTCTTCTCACATCTACCACCATATCTTGCAAGGAAAATTGAGAAACTTTGATTACAATGGGATTCTAAAGTGCTCTCATGTATTAAAATTGGCTACTACAACTGTAATGCAACTTGCTCTGATTTAAATATCCCAACCTGTCTACTATCAGGTGACAATGATCGATTTGTGTAACTGACATTGTAATTCTTGAAAGCTAAGAAATGCAAAAGAGAAACTTGCTGCTCTGCCTTGCACTAAAAACAGCCCCACCCACAACTGGCACTTACTGGCTCAGGAGATTCAGGCTCAGGCGTGACCACTGATGGAGCCTTGAGGTCATACTCCTCAATTTGCTCCTCTTTGGCTTCTTCACCAGGAGCAGAGGGAGCCAGGGCAGACACTGCTGTTGTCTCTATCATCTGTGGCAAGAGAGAAGCATGAGGGACAGGCTGTTACCTATCATTTATAACCTTCTATCTTCTCCCATCTACCACCATATCTTGCAAGGAAAATTGAGAGACTTTGATTACAATGGGATTCTAAGGTGCTCTCATAATACTGAAATTGGCTACTACAACTGTAATGCAACTTGCTCTGCTTTAAATATCCCAACCTGTCTACTATCAGGTGACAATGATCGATTTGTGTAACTGACCTTTTAAATCTTGATAGCTCGGAAATGCAAAAGCAAAACTTTCAGTGCTGTGTTGCACTAAAGACAGCAACACCCACAACTGGCACTTACTGGCTCAGGAGATTCAGGCTCTGGTGTGACCACTGATGGAGCCTTGTGGTCAAACTGCTCCATTTGCTCCTCTTTGGCTACTTCACCAGGAGCAGAGGGAGCCAGGGCAGACACTGCTGGTGTCTCTGTCATCTGTGGCAAGAGAGGAGCATGAGGGAGAGACTGTTATCTATCATTTATAACCTCATTTCTTTTCACATCTACCACCATATCTTGCAAGGAAAATTGAGAAACTTTGATAACAATGGGATTCTAAGGTTCTCTCATAGTATTGAAATTGGCTAAAACAACTCTAATTCAAATTGCTCTGAATTAAGTATTCCACGCTGCCTACTATCAGGTTACATCATTTATAATCTCGTTTCTCCTCAGATCCGTAACCTCCTCTTAAAAGGAAAAATTATCCACTTTGTTAGCAATGCGATTCTAAATCACTCTGACCAGATTAAAATGGGCTAACTCAGCAGAACTCTATTTGATGCACTCTATGTATTTGATAGTCCTTCCTGGCTGCCATCAGCAAGCAACTGTGCCTTGGCACAAAGGAGCTTTTGGCTCTTTAAAGCCCTGAAATGCAAAAGTAGGAAATAGCCAGCAAGGCTTTTGCTGTTGCTGCGGCAGACATGGAAAACTCAAAGTGGATCAGAATCCCAACCAGTGCAAGGAAAGGGCAGGAAAGGTTGTGCAGAAGCATCTGTGCTTGCTGGCAAGAGAGAAAATGGGCAGGGCTTTACCTCCTACCAAACCAAGTCAAAGCAAGTCAAAAGTGTCCCCTCCTCAGGTGGCTAAAACACTTGGAGGCAATGAGGGCATGTTTGGCAGGGGAACAGCCATGGTGATGAGCACTGTCACATATGGATCTATGGAAGTGTGCCTGAAGGTCCCTCACGAGCCTCCCATTGTCCAGGCTGAAACACCCTGAGCACCTCCTCCTTGGCCTTGCGCTCCACACCCTTCCCCAGCTCCCGTGTCCTTCTCTGCACACGCCCAGCGCCTCAAGGACTTCCTGCTTCAGAGGGGCCCACATGTAGACACATCACTGTGGAGTTGTGCTCGCCCTGTATATCCCCTCATAATGGTTTGTCCCTCCATATCCCCTCTTTGTATCCGTTTGCTTCATCCCAGCTTTCCCATCAGCACCTGTATGTCCATCAAACCCCAAAATCCCTGACTCATCCCCCTGTCTCCTCCCAGGTGATGTGTCCATCACCTCGTGAGCCTTCCCCTTTGTCCAGAGCCTTCTCCCAGGGTCACCAGGTAACTGGACCCTGGCTCGGGGCTCCTCCCCCACCCCCTCCTCAGTGGTCATTCTGAGGCCTTGCCCCCAGAGAGCCACTCCCAAGTCCTTCCCCTGTTGGCTGCTCGGGTTTCCCTGTCCCCCTATATCTGGCTCCTCTGGGCAGGGACACCCTCTCTTGCTCTGGATGTCCTTCGGGTTTGGATGTGGCCTGGGATCTCTCCAGGCCCTCATTAAATTTCGGAACTAATCCTGAGGAGGAGCGCCTCTTTCTCTTGCTTGTCGGACCAGCTTGTCTTTGAACTCACGAGGGAGCTTCTCAAAGCCCCCCAGGATCCAAGGAGAAGTTCCCTCCCTCTGCCCGACTCGCCCCACTGCCCAGCTGGATGGGGTACACTGGGGACTCATCACCCGTGGATTTGAGGGTGACACGCAGCACAGAAATTCCAGCTATGGTTGCAGCGCTGCCCAGCCCAGGGGGACGGTCACTGCCCTGCTTCTGCTGCCCCACTGCTGCTGACACAGGCCAGGGTGCCCTTGGCCTTCTTGGCCACCTGGCCAGGTCCTGGCCCACCTTCAGCTGCTTTTGACCGGCACCCCTGGGTCCTTTTGGCCCACACAGCGTCCCAGCCACAAAGTTGCCCATTGGATTAAAAATACAGCATCCACCATTTCAAAATGCCCTTCCTCTTCTGAGCAACACAAGACTGCAGTCATGGACTTGCTGCTACAAACCCCCGCCCTGCCTCCAGGCTGCAATGCACTTTTCAAAGCTGCAGACTACACCAAGAAATGCATCCACAGAACCTTGCTTTTTGCCTCACAAAAGGGCTTCACAATTATAAACTTAGTTTCTTTGACCAGGTCTTGTCCCCCACAGATTCATGGACAACACACTCGTCTACTTGCAGCTTATCAAAAGTCACAAGACAGCTGAGCCGCACACTTTGTAGAACTGAATAAATACTCAAGCAACTGCAGACCCGTTTCACCAGGCAAACACATGTTTCCACAAAGGGAAAGCAAACAAACCAAGCCCTGAGACCTCCAGCACTACCTCGTGCTCCCTTGGCCTGGGCCTGCAGAAGCCCAAGAGACAGAGCTTCACTGAGTTGAGCAGCCAGACGCTCACCCTGAGGCAACAGGCTTTGGTGCCTAAACATGACAGGTCCAAGGCCAATTTCTAGCTGGAGGTCACTGCCTGCAGGAAATCGCTGGGTCCTGGCAGGACTCCAGCACTCAGCATCCTCGGCCAGCAACAGCAAGAGCTGGCTGGTCAGAAACTTCAGCTCTGCCTTGCACTAAACACAGCACCAACCACAACAGGCACTTACCGGCTCAGAAGATTCAGGCTCAGGTGTGACCACTGATGGAGCCTCGCGGTCATACTCCTCAATTTTTCCTCTTCGGCTTCACCAGGAGGAGAGGGAGCCAGGGCAGACACTGTTGTTTCCTCTGTCATCTGTGGCAAGAGAGAAGCATGAGGGACAGGCTGTTACCTATCATCTATAACTTCCTATATTCTCACATCTACCACCATTTCTTCCAAGGAAAATTGGGAAACTCCAATTGCAATGGGATTCCAATGCGCTCTCATGGTATTAAAATTTGTTAATCCACCTGTACTGCAAATTGCTCTGAAATAAATATTCCACCCTCCCTTCTATCAGATAGCAATGATCTCTTTGTAACTGACTTTTTAAGTTTTGAAAGCTCTGAAACGCAAAAGCGAAACTTGCAGCTCTGCCTTGCACTAACGACAGCACCACCCACAAGTGGCACTTACTGGCTCAGAAGATTCAGGCTCTGCTGTGACCCCTGATGGAGCCTCACGGTCATACTGCTCAATTTGGTCCTCTTTGTATTCTTCTCTAGGAGCAGAGGTGGCTGGGGCAGACACTGATGCTGGTTTTGTGCTCTGGGGCAAGAGAGAAACATGAGGGACAAGCCGTTACCTCCTTCCTTCTCACATCTACCACCATATCATCCAAGGAGAAAGCATAAAAATTCAGTGTAAAAGGATTCTAAGCAACACAGATCAAATTAAAACGGGCCAATTCAACAGAACTATATATGGATATGAAGCTGATATTCTTCCCTGGTTGCCATCAGCAAGCAATGTTGTATCTGCAAGACAGAGCTTTTAGCTTGTGAGAACTCGGAAATGGAAAAGTAAGAAAGAGACATCTATGCCTTTGCTATTGCTGCTGCAGACATGGAAACCTACAACTGGATCAGAATCTCATCCAGTGCTGGAAAAGAGCAGGAAACGTTGTGAAGAAGCATCTGTGCTTGTTGGAAAATGAGAAAATCAACAGGGCTTTTCCTCTACTAAACCAGCAAAACAAAAACGCAACAAACAATAGGCAGGGAGTCTCTCCGACACCAGCGTCTAAAGCACAGGGATGCAGTGAGGGTATGTTTGGCAGGGAAATGGCACTTGTGGTGAGCAGTGTCATGTATGGATCTATGGAAGTGTACCTGAAGGTCTCTCAACAGCCTCCCATTGTCCAGGCTGAAACTCCCTCAGCACCCCCCTCCTTGGCCCTGCGCTCCACACCCTTCCCCAGCTCCCGTGTCCTTCTCTGCACATGCTCCAGCCCCTCAAGGACTTTCTGCTTCAGAGGGGCCCACAAGTGTTTACGAATATAAAAGGGTAAAAACCTTTCTAAAGTGTAAGAAGTCTTTAGAATGTAGACATACTTTTGAGAAATGTTGGGAAATTTTAAAATAATAAGCACAATCAGGATCATAAAATCAAAATATTGCTGCAACAATAATCTGCCTAGTTCAGAACATGATGTAGCAAGGTCTGATTAGAAAAAGATAGGGCAATATCTTTTGGAAAAAAAAGAGATTTTAAGTTTTTAAATGAAGAAATTTTAGCCATGCCAGTCTCTTATGGGAGGGATAATAGTAGGCCTATGTATTAATCACTCTCACATTATAACATCGAAGAGTGAAATCAAAGTTTGAAGGAAAGCAGAATTAACTCTCTTTATTTTAATTATGTGTTTTTTACTCTTATGAACTCATGCCAACTGATTGTCGCGTTGTGGCAAGTCTGATTTTAACTAATTCACAATTTATGTTATGAGAACTCCAGCAGAAGATACCTATTAAGGTTTTATGGGAAAAATATGTTAGTAGTACATATGAAAAATTTTCAGAAGGTAAGTTGTCTAGCAAACTGTCATATGATAAACCAGAAACACAAAATTTGTTCCTAGGTCAGTGTTGAGAGATATTAAACAAGATGCAAGAAAAACTTTAATTTCGGTCAAATCAACAAGTACTCCTCTTAAAGCATATTTGACCATGACACAAAGAACAAATTAATCATGCATTATTAGATAAGATAATACAAGCTATGGAAAGACAATGCCCTGATAAAGCAGCTCATTCTTATATTCTCCAAAACCTAGCATTTGTAAATGCGAATGATGATTGCAAAAAAATTATTTCCACATTACCCAAACAGCCTCCAACTGTTACTCAAATGCTTTCAGCTTACAGTAAAATTAGCACTCCACAGTATCTTGCTACAGTACAAGCTAATGTCCCTAGAGAGCAAATTACTAAATCTCATGATTCACTAAGAAACAAATTTTAAAAACCAATTGAAGAACAAACAAAACTTTTTGAAAAAACTCTTGCTGCTGTTCAATGAACCTTTACTAAAAAGTCCTGCTTCAGATGTGAGAAGCCTAGTCATGTGATAAAGAATTACCCTGATCCAATAATAAAATCTGAAGTACCTTCTGTTTGTCCTCAATATCAAAAAGGGAAATATTATGCAAAAAATTGTCATTCTAAATTTGATATAGATAGTAATCCCCTACCGTTAAACTCCAAGCAAAGCGCGACCCACCGCGTGGTGAAACAAGTAATAGCAACCCAGAATCCAGGGAATTTTCCCCCTTAGCCTTCACTAGGAGACCTCAAAGCCAAACACAATATCTACCTTTACCACCAGTACCACAAGACATTCCTTCCTATTACCTCCAAGGACAAAACTGGAGTTAGCAAACTCAAAATTAATACGGTTTTTGAAAAATTTCTGTTATGAATGTATACCTACAGGTCTGATTAACAAATCACAACAAAGACAAGAATTTTTAATTAATATAGATAAAGACAACAATACAAGTCTTAGACTATTAATTTTTCCAGTTAGCATTTCAGTAAACTGCAACGAAGAGCTACTAGTTTTAGCTCTTCCCCTTAAAGCCCCAACAGTAATTCAACCTAAGAAACCTCTTGCTTTTACAATTGCTTTACCTATAGACATAATCAAACAAAATGTAACTCAACAAAATGCTTTGTTAACCAATCAAACGGTGTACCAAGGTGATCCAGATGTGTTTTCTACTCTAATGCTACATGTCTTCTAAGTAGAACATACTTAGAAGTATGTTCTAAACCAACCAGAACTGACTTGTGGCCTAACTCATCGTGGTAGAACAATTATGTTACAGGCATACCAGATACGGTGCAGATGTCTCAGTAATTTCTCTCCTGTTTTAGCCCATAACTAACACTTAATATCACCTATGAGAACACTCACAAGGATCAGAAGAACTACTGTTTGTTTAGAAAGTGAATCCATGATTACTATTACAAGTCTTGAAAGGAAGACAGCTGCTGTACGTCCCTCTCTATCAATAATTCCTAGAAACTGGCCTCTCGTCATCATCGATATAAAAGACTGTTTCTTCAACATACCACTTCATCCTGAAGATGCCCCAAGATTTGCCTTCTCAGTTCCAGTCATCAAGCAAAGAAAGCCAATGCAAAGATATCACTAGAAATCTTTACCACAAGGGATGAAGAATTCTCTAACAATTTAACAATATTTTGTCACACAAGTACCGTGTACAGCTTGACAGAAGCATCCACAATCCACGATTCTACACTACATAGATGATCTACTCATTGCAGCACCAACACAGACAAAGATAAAACAAACTTGTGACAGCGCTGTTACTGAGATCCAAAAGACTGAACTAGAATTTCTACATCTAAGATACAAGAAATCCCACCCTAAAAATATCTAAGATAGAAGATAACAAAACAAACAATTTCACCCCAAAAGATACAACTTCAAGTCAACATCAACACTTTGCAAGATTTACAGCAACTTTTAACAGAAATTAACAAGATGAAACCTATTTTGAAAATTACCAACGATGAACTTGCTCCGCTTTTTGATCTACTGAGAGAAAACTTTGACATTAAATCTCCCAAGATTTTAACACCTGAAGCTCAACTCAGCATAACAAGTCACAAAAACTTTCCAAAGAAGACAAGCCCATCATTATGCTCCAAAGAAACCTTTCTTCCTGACTGCTTTGAGACAGAAGCTACAACTTTATAGCCTCATTTTCCAATGAGATCCATCTGAGAAAGATCCATTATTAATAGCAGAATAAGTTTTTCTTCCCTACAAGTCTCCAAAAACAGTTTCTACAACCCTAGAGATAATAGCACAAATTGTAATTAAGGTCAAAGCAAGACTATTAACCTTAACAGGCAAAGACTTTACAGTTCTATATTTACCTTTAAATACAGATTATTTAGATTAGACATTACAAAATTCAGATGATTTAGAAAATGCATTGTTAAGTTTTTCAGGTGTTTGTTCCATTCATTATCCAAGTCACAAATTATTACAAACAAAATTGAGTTTCAAAAAAAGCCCTTGCTAAGTGAAGGGCCTTGAAGTAATACAACGCTCTTCACTAATAAGTCAAGAAAAACATAAATCAGTAACTGTATAGTTAAATCAAACAACAAAAAATTAGAAATCGAATATTCCAATAGTAGAAAGTTCTCCTCAAGTAGTTCAACTAGCTGCTGTTGTTAAAGCTTTTCAGCTATTTTCAAAGCCTTTCAATTTAATTACAGATTCTACCTATGTTACTAATGTAAGTAAAAAAATAGTTTTAAAAAATATTAGTAATAATAATTTATATTGCTAGCTTTCATGTCTTCATAAAATTTTACAACACAGAACTAACCTATATTTTATTTCTCATATTAAAGCTCATTCATCTTTACCAAGATGTTTAGCAAAAAGAAATACAAGAACAAATAAATGGACCATAGTTATCTCAAACACATTACCAAACATTTTTGAGTACACAAAATTGAGTCATACCTTTTTTCATCAAAATACACAAGCACTTGTACACTTGTTTCGTATCTCTAAATCCCAAGCTAAAGCTATCATTACAGTTACCCTGATTGTCAGCTTGTGCAAACCCCTGTTTCTACAACAACTCTTAATCCACAAAGTTTATAAAATCTACAATTATAACAAACATCACTAAATACCCTTCTTTTGAGAGATTCAAAAATATTCAGGTTTCAGTAGATTCACTATCAAGTACAGATTTTACCTCTATCCACACAAGAGAACAAGTAATCGTACCTATCAACATTTTTTACAAACATTTACTTCATTACGTGTACCCCAGGAAATGAAAAAAAACAATAGCCCCACATATCTATCTCAAAAAGTAGCAACATTCCTAATAAATTAAAATGTTCATCACACCTTTAGTATTCCCCACTCCCCCGCAAATCAAACAACTGTTAAAAAGACACATCACACATTAAAACACATTTAGATCAACAGAAGAGGGGAGCACAAGTAATACCACAGATAAAATTAAGTAAAGCTTTATGTGTTAAAATTTTTTAAACAGTTCTTTTGCAGAAGCAGATCCACCAACTTTTAAGCATTTTACAAATAACACACAAACAAAACTAAAAAAAAAATCCTCCTGTTTTAATAAAAAGCCTTGAAAAAATTTTCCTTTCCAATTAATAACTTAAAGCAAAGAGTATACTTGTATTTCTACAAGTACTGGAAAAGCAAAGTGAATTCCAATAAAGAATGCCAAACCATACAACACACCAAAACACACTAACAAACCCAAAAGTCAAAGAGCAAACACACAAACGTAAGCTAAACAGAGACTACAAGTCACGCCGAGTGTTCCTATGTCACCTGTAGAATCTGCAAACTTCAATTTAATGATAATGATAAATGTGTAAAGAGCTTGTTCCGTTGAGCTCTTTTAACAAAAACATAAAAAAGAAGGATTTATTATTATCATTAGATTCTAAAAAATTAACATTCTAAACTCTCCAAAAAATGCAGTTTAAAAGTTAAAATATATAGAAAATTCTTTTAACAAAGAGTAACTCAACGAAAAAGATATGAAAGAAAATCAGTTCACTTTATGTTTTCTAACTTTGCTTACTTTTTATAACGCAAATTTTCCTATACAACAACCAAAACCAAATGTCTGAGTCACATTAACCAAAGCTACAAGATCAGATACCAAATGTATGTCTCACTCAAATCCAAAAAAGCCTTTTTCAATCTGGTTAGTTAGTGTACCACTAAAAAATTAGCCAATACCTATATAACACGATCCTTTAACAAAAAAGTGACTTAATAACAAACCAAGTGAAATTACTAATAGAAACAATCCCACAAGGGATTAAAGTCTCTAGAACAAACAACTCCTCAAAACAAGTTCAGAACCCCAAGAATTAAAGATCCTTAGTTCCTGAACAATAAATTTCTGTGTCACATTTTCAAGAAACAATTAGCAAAAATATAATTCTCCAAAATACAATGTTATTCACTCTTACTACGAATATAAAAATTTAAGTTTTCAGTGCAATTACTCATACACTGTAGATAAAAATCTAAAGTTAACCAATAGCCACAGAAATTACCAAAGTGTTATTAGTTCATTTGTAGAAATAAAAGATAGCAAAACATTCCATCATACCCTAAAGACAAACCATGTAACATTAGCACACTCACTGTAATAACACCCAGTACTAAAACAGTTTCAAAAAAGACAAGAAAAAAGATCTATTAATATATACCCAAAAGATTACAATAGTAATTTCAGTCTGTTAAAAAACCACAAAATATTTCAACAAGCTTCTTTTTACCTACAATTGCTTCAGAAACAACATTAAGACAAATAGATAAGATTAAATATTAACTAAACAAACAAACTAATACCACATCCAGTGCACTCAGTAACATGCGAACTGACGTCAGCAGTGTCCAACAAACTCCAAAATCAAACAACCATTAATTTCCTTTTCTAACACATAAACAGAGTTGTAAAGAATTCAAAAGAATGTGTTACGTAAATTTGTCTAATCATTCTAAATCCATTCACAAAAACATACAAACACTTAAAAACTTAACATCTACAATTAAAAATAAAGAAACATAGTTAAACAATTGATTCAGTAAGTAGAGCTTAACTCCTTAATCAAAACAACTTTACAAGTTAAGTAAAATCTTGTTATTATAATATTAATATTAATTCCTTATTCACTTCATTATTCACAACACATTACAAACTCATCAAAAAGTTTTTATTGTCCAAAAGAAAAATACAAAAGAAAAGTTACAAACAATGCACAAAACCTCACCAAAACTAATTAAAGTCACTCAAAAATTTAACCTTTACATTGAGACCTTAAAAAAGTCAAAATTTATAAATTTATCAGAACCTAATACAGATACTATACCTCACTTTACCCAACATTAATAATGCTTTAACTTAAAATTATAGAGCTTAAAACAAACAAAACCAAAAGTACCTTCATACAAAAAGTTTATAACTTTTTTCCTAAATGAATAAATATAGGCAGTAGTAAAGCTATATAACACAAAGTAATAAATAAGTGACGAGTCAAAAATAGTTTACTTAAAAAGAGAGGGGGAATTGTAGGGATATATAAAAGGTAAAAAACTTTAGAAAGTGCAAAAAGGCCCCAGAAAGTAGACATAAAGCTGAAAAAGGCTGGGAAATTTCAAAACCTTCTCCTGGGAAGCTAGGAAAATAAGAACCAAGTGAATACATTTATATTTATCATAAGGAACAAGAAAGAACAAGAACTTAGTGATAGTTTGAGATGTCAAAAGTTCTAGATATATGCTTTGCAAAAATAGAAAAAGTTTCAATCTTATATAATGAATTATTGTATATTGTTTGAGGTTCATAGAAGTCCTTCTGTTAATGTTAAACCCACATGGGTCCTTTTCTTACTGGTTAGAGTATAATGACTCTGCACCTTTTCTTTTATGCTACTGGTTCAAAGAATATGTAGAAAAAGGCTTTGCATAAACTGCCATCTTGTCTTTGATCTAGATTTGCATGGATGTTCGTTTGTCTGTGTCTCTTGCTTTTTGCTTGTATGATACAGACATAATAAATCCTAAGTCTGCAGCCAGTGCGGGTCCCATCCTGTTCTGTGAGACGCAGACCGATCGGGCAGAAAGTGGACACAGCACTCCCAGCTATGGCCGCAGCGCTGCCCAGCCCAGGGGGACGGTCACTGCCCCGCTCCTGCTGCCCCACTGCTGCTGACACGGGCCAGGATGCCCTTGGCCTTCTTGGCCACCTGGCCAGGCGCTGGCCCACCTTCAGCTGCTCTTGGCCGGCACCCCTGCGTCCTTTTGGCCCATGCAGCTGCCCAGCCACAAAGTTGCCCATTTGACTGCAAATACAGCATTAAATTGTCCTTCTAATTCTACAACCACATCTTCTAAGGAAGTATCATGAAGTTTTATAGGGATAGAAATCTAAGTTGCTGTGACTTCAATTAAAATGGGCTTATTCAACTCTGCAGGAAGTTGCTCTCTCTTAAGTATTCATCCCTGTCTGGTGTCATCAAGCAATGTTCTCTCTGCAAAACTGAGTTTGTAGGTCTTCAAGGTTCTGAGTTGGAAATTAGGAAATATCCAGCTATGCCTTTGTATTTGTTGCTGAAGGCATGAAAATGGATTTTCTTCCAGCCTGCATGCCTGGCCCTCTACAGCCTACTGGTTCTGGCTAAGCACACAGCTTACTCTACAATTGCTAAACAGCACAAACATGAAATGTTCCTTTCTCACTCACCTTAGGACCAGCACCGCTGATTACATGCATCAGGTGACCTGTAGTGGGCAAGGGAAAACAAACCAGACGCTGTGAGAAAATTGCCTGGGCTGGTGAATCCCACAGAACAATCACCGCAAACAGAGAGTATTTTCCGTTTCACAACATCCCTCCAGGAGACACATTTCGTTCACACAACTAGCAAGAGATCCAGATAGTATTCTTGGGCGTGCCTACCCTTTCGCCTGTTTAGCCATTAAATGGATACAAACATGATCAAGAAAATGCAAATTCTTTGCTAACGCTCAATGCTCCTCTTCTACCAAACGCATAGCACATCTTTTTAAAATCCTCTCCTTTCGGTACCTTTTTTTTTTTTAAATCAGTTGCATGCACAACTTCTCATTAACTTGCTGGAGACAGTTGCCCAGAAAAGCTGCCCCAAAATTCCACTATGATATGGCAGCTCTATTGTGACACAGCACAGCAGCAGCTCCAGGGTCCAGGAGCAGACACTCACTGCTTTGGAGTTTGCACTTCCTTGCAAAGGGAATCACTATTTAACACTCAGTCAAGGGTCAAGTTAGACAGTCAACTCCTTTCATGAAAAAATGTAGAAAGAAAGAAGCTTTCCCTGAATTCTGGGAAATACTGCAGAGTTATTAGAAGGCCTTCCAAGAAGGTCTCCAGTTTACATTTTCAAAGCTGTCGTGCTTGTCCCAGCAAACTGAGGAAATGACAGACTCTGCTGCCTCAGACTCTCCCGGGGAGGGAACAGAACCCCTGCAGGTTCCCTTGCAAATGCTGCCCTGTGGCTACAGAAATCCCCTTGTAGCTGAACTCCTTGACAGGAGCTTTACCAAACCAGTGGCACGCTAGTGCTCTTTCTGTTTCAAAATAACTCAGGCACTAAGAAAGAGCAGGAAGACATACAAAAGCCACGTTCGGGTACACCCAGGGAAAACCTCTACTTACGTGTCAGGTTAGTGAGGTAATAGCTGGAATAAAAAACGCCGTAAGCTCCAATAGCTACAGCAACAACCTTCTCAATCATTGTAGCACTGCTGTGCAGATTTGCTCCACCATCAGAAAAATCAAGGCTCTTGTCTGTGGGCAGCTCCCACTGACAAACGCCTCAAGCAGGAGGATGCTCCTGCCCTGAGCGAGCCCTAGAGCTGCTCTGACACTGAGGCCTTCCGTGCACCAAGACAACCTTCTGATGCCACCATGACCACATGGCAACCATGCCCTGACATCACAATGCAAGCACTCTATATTGGCCTGTGAATTTAGGCAGAGCAATAACCAACCTTCCCTACAGCAAACGCAAAATAGCTGGGGAAGTTCTCCTCTGTCACAAAGCAGCACAAATTCCCCTCATGGGCCAAACAAACCCTGTTGTTCAAGGGATCCAAGAGTAACTCCAGGAGTGCACCAAGCACCTACAGCCTGTACCCCAACTGAGCACTCAGATGGGAACCAAGCTAAGGAAACCAGACCAAGAAAATGGCCCAAAGCATTGCACATCTGAGACACAACCCTCACTTTTATAAATTTAAAGGTTTATTAAATCTTAACAAAGGACTGAATAAGGAAAACTCGCAGCACTGGGAGTCTCTATGAACATTACATAGAGCAGCTCATCTATCAAATGGTTGCTCTGCCTTTTATACCCTTCATCCCGCCAAAGTTTTGCCAAAGTTTTGCCATCCACTGGTGGAGATTCCTTTCTTACCTCTTGACTGGAGGTCAGGTGTTGTTACTCCACACCTCCTGGTCACAAGCCGGCCCTCCCCAAAAGCCCTGACTACCAAGGCTATTGCAAGGGGGAGGGGAAATAGGACTATTGGAGCCTATATTACAATAACATCACTATACATTTTTATATCCACATAATATCTACCTCTTAACAGTGAGAGCCAACTGTTACATTACTCATCTATAGCACACAGAACCAGGAGAGAAGGCACTGTTGGCATAACAGCTGAAACAATTCCTAACAAATCTCCCACATATCTGCACGTTTATTAGATACGCCCAGGGCTCCTGAGGATGTACATCTCTGCCTTTATTCCCCTTTGGAAGCAGTCAAACTGGCAGCACCTGCCCACCAGCAGGAGCTGCTCCGAGCTGGGAACACGACTGGTGGTGCTGATTTCCAGAGGCTTCTGTGTCCCAGGAGAAGATAAGGAAAGAGCGGATTGAGAGGTGCTGGCGCTGCTGCTGCTCTGTGCCAGAGAGCCCCGGCTGGGCAGGGCACGGCGTTGCAGGCTCTTTCTCCTGCCAGAGCTGGGCACACCTGGGAACAAGGCATGGCAACTTGTGGGAAACCAAGGGCTTTGTGGGGGCTGCATTGCTCAGCACACAGCCAGGCCATCTGTGACACAGAGTTCTGGCACCTAAAAAGATAAAGGAGAGGCAAATAGCTGGGAGAGGTTTCATTTTGACCTTTCTTACCTGTTCACAGAAGTTGCCAAAATGAAAGTTACAGAGCAGGGCCTGTTCCCTGCTGCCAGCTCAGGATTGGAAAGGAGGCATTTGTTTATTTCAGTACTCAGTGCATAGGGAATCACTCCCCTAACACCTGCACACCCAGCAATCTCACTTACTAGTTTGTATCTACGGAACTAAGACATATTCAATACTTTGCTGAAACTCGCAGGCTAAACATTACTCCAAATTATTTGACATATTTAAATAATTTCTCAGAATTTATTGACATCAGAATAGGAGTAGGAGTATCCTGTAGGTCCCTGGTGGTCGTTGCCACAGGTTCAGGAGGAGACCCATGCACAAAATAATCTAAGATACAACTGGGCTTGCAAAGAAAATTTATTCCATTAGTTGCAGTAGCAAATAATACCAACCCCTGGATTCTCAAAAATCCGCTGAGCAGGAGAAGGAGATGGAGTGTGGGGCTCGGCGACAGGGGCAGGTAGGCAGTGCACTTCCAGGACATGCCCCGGATCAAAACGGTGTGCACGTCATCCTTCTCACCCCTCCAGCCCAGAGCCAGGCCTTATACCTCCTGCTCAGGAGTGGAATTTTCCCAGTTACAGCATCAGCTCACACATGGCTGGCATGTGAGATGAGGCCAGGATGGCTCCAGATACCAAGGCCATGCCAACAACGGCTCCATTATGCATTGCTCCCCTTTCAAACCTTAACTGCCCACCGATTGACCCATACATTGTTTCTCTTTCAAGGGTCCTTTTCCCACCCATTAAACAATACACTTTTCTTCATTGTCTTGTCAACCTGCTCAAACACGGATCAAATATGGCAGGGCCTGGAACATGACTCTGGTTCCTGACACAGTCATTTGGAAACTATTCCATTCCTCAAATTCTCCTTTGCTGGTCAAGAGCCTCTTAAAAACATTTCTTCCCTTTGAATGCATTCCAGCTACCTTCTGAGCAGGACCACTCTCTTTATTCTCAAGGCTAAAATAGCACTTGCACACATTAGGCACTGCAGTGGGGCAATACAGGGTTTAGCACTGCCTGTTAAAGCTAAAGGGATTCACAAGCTTAAGCCCTATTGAATACACTTAACATTTCTCCTTGCTGTTCTGGGAATCAACACAAGCATTTCATCAATACACCCTTCAAGTGCTCTTGCTGAGTGAAGCCACATTGCAGTGTCAATACAGCAGCCAGGACTCAGTTTTTGCATGCAGGGAAAGCCAATTCTTTATTCACACAACTCATTTTTACAGCATTTTCACAGACCTCATGTTCAACTCCAATTGCCTGGTTGTTTTCTTGCCACATAATTCACTGCTTAGGTGTTATTGTGTGAATTTGCTAAGACTCTTTTACTCAGGTGTTTACAATTTTCCTTTGTGGACTCCCATGGGACAGATTTCCTGATTATTACATATGCAAACAGTTTTCTTCCCACAAGAGCTTGTTGTGCTAACTGCAGTCACGATTTTTCACATGGGAAGTTAGCTAGCTGCACGTAGAAGACACAACAGGCCAGCTGCTCATTTTTAGCAGAGTAAGGCCTGATTTTATAAGGCCTTTCTCTGACAATACCCCTAACCTGTGTGCAACACATTATGACTTTCTTTCACAAATTAAGGAAGAAAACACAGACTGCCTACTGAAATATTTCTGCTCTCTTCCAAATCAGTTCACAACTCAAGCAAAACCCTCAGGCGCATCCCCGATTCCCTCTCTCCCAGCAGCTCCGAGCTGCGGCGTGGCACAGCGCTTGCTGTGTGCCAGAGAGCACAAAGCAGGCTGGCCTGCTGGCCCTGAATATTTCTGCAAAGCACTCTGCAGGTCACAGCTTTGCTGTGGCTCAGTGCAGAAGTGCGGGGTTGCAGGCGCTGCCTCCCAGAGCTGTGTGAGGCACTGGCTCCTGCAGCCGTGAGCTGACGAGCTGTCCCTGCCTCCCGCTGGCCCATGGTCCCCTGGCACAAGCGCCGTGCCTGAAGGACGCTGCCCTGTGCTCCAGCCTGCCGAGCAGCCCGGCTCCTGCCCCGGTGCCCAGAGTGCTGCACACACTGCTGACCTTTGCCAGGAGTCGCAGGGCAGCCGGCACAAGAGTGGGAATGCTGAGCCAGGCCACCGGCCCTCGGCTGCCCTTGGCCTTTCTCTCCTCGGGGCAGACTCCAGAGGGCCAATGCCTCCAGGCTGGGCTGTGCCCAGCAGGGCTCCGCTTCCCCTCGGGAGCAGCCGGCTGCGCTTGGCCTCTGAGAGCGGAGGATGTGCCCGCTGCCAGCAAGAGGCACGCGGGGCCGGGCTGTGCCTCCTGCAGCTACAAGGGCCTCCTTGCAGCCTGCCCCTGCCCAGGCTCAGGCTGCTCCGGGCTCTGCCAGGGCTCTGCTGCGGCTCCACGCCGGGCAAGGCCGGGCCCGCTCTCACCTCACACTCGCTGACAGCTCTGCACCGCAGGAGACCTTTCAGAGCACCTCTCTGATCTTTCTGCTTTCTCCGCTGAGCAAGGCTCTCCTCCGCCAAAGACATTGCCCTTCGCGATACAAATCCAAGTGGCAGGCACCCAAATGCTCTCGAGTCACAGCTGAAGGCCTGCATCTGCACAGGATGTTTTGGCTGCCCCACTCGCCCTTTGGTTTTTCCTGCAAATGCCATTGCCCTTTCTGCCTCAACTGGAAGTGCCACAGATGTGCCAAACGGGGCCGGTGGGCCGTATGTCAAAGGCAGTGTAGTCTGGAAAAGAGGAATGAAGAAGAGCCTTCTCCACTTACAAACCATACCAAAGAAGTCATAAGTGTGTCTCAGCACCAATAAAAACAAGCATAAATTCAGAAGGAAATGTTGAGTTTTCTGAAGGGGTCAGAAGGAGGGGAATCTTCCAAATGACTTGATATTTCAGAAACTTTATTTAATTATAATCCTATCTATAAACCTATACTACAAAACTACTTAACAATCCTACTCTAGAGTCCTACTCTACAATCCTACTCTAACTTCGTAATAATATCTTGATTTTTAGATTCTTGTTTTCTTCTTTTTCTTCTTCACTGAGTTGATGAGTGGTGGCAGGATGGGCGTTGGCTTGGCTGCTGTTACAAATGGATGTTGTCCACCCGAAAAAAAAACAACAAAGAACAGTGAACCATCACTTTCCAAGCTCACTGCTTCACAGACTCAATCAGGATCCCTCTAGCTCCTAGAAAGATCCAGAAAGTAAAACAATGGGACCATCTGTTCCCCACTCATCATGTGCAGGAGCTTGCCATCACAGGGAAACCTGGCCCTGAATCCCACTCATCCATTTATTCTGGTTTCTCCATCTTGCTGGGATTTTTGCCCTGCCAGTGCTCTAGAAATGGTGCTTTCTGTCCCTGGGGTTTCTTCCTTTCAGGAAGCTCCAATGACTCCCATAGGTCCCTGTCTTGGAAAGACAAGCACCGTGCTAATTTCCACAGGCACACAGAGCAGTGTCTGCCTTTCCATGCCCCGCCCCTCCTGTGTGGGATGGCACCTTCCTTCCCAGCAGGGCCAGCCGAGTGGCGCTGGGTCCTGCAGTTCCCTCTCTGCCACACAACCTGGCAGTCAGCCTGGGCCAGTTCCCCTCTGCCTGAGCGTGCCAGGCAGCAGATCGGGCTGGGACAAGTCCCTCTCAGCTGTCCCTGTTTGTGTGCCAGAAACCTCTAAGGGTGGGGGGGGGACACAAACCAGGGCCCCTCAGAGGCTCACAGTGAGCCTCTCACAGCCCCTAATTCACATTG